GTATCTTAGTGTAGTCTACTTGTGTGCCAAGTTATATTGAAATCAGACCAAAACTGTAGGAGGAGTAGCATTTTGAAAGAATTTGACAGAAATTTCTATTTTTAGTAACCACGGCAAAACCGTTCATCAAAATCAAAAACCGATATACAGAATTATGTATCTTAGTGTAGTCTACTTGTGTGCCCAGTTATACTGAAATCAGATTAAAACTGTAGGAGGAGTAGCATTTTGAAAGAATTTCACAGAAATTTCTATTTTTAGTAACCACGGCAACACCATTCATCGAAATCAAAAACTGATACATAGAATTATGTATCTTAGTGTAGTCTACTTGTTTCCCAAGTTATATTGAAATCAGACCAAAACTGTAGGAGGAGTAGCATTTTGAAAGAAGGCAACACCGTTCATCGAAATCAAAAACCGATACACAGAATTATGTATCTTAGTGTAGTCTACTTGTGGGCCAAGGGAGACTGAAATCTGTCCAAAACTGTAGGAGGAGTAGCATTTTGAAAGCATTTCACAGAAATTTATATTTTTAGTAACCACGGCAACAATCGAAATCAAAAACCGATACACAGAATTATGTATCTTAGTGTAGTCTACTTGTGTGCCAAGTTATATTGAAATCAGACCAAAACTGTAGGAGGAGTAGCATTTTGAAAAATTGTTTACAGACAGACAGACAGACGGACAGACAGACAGACGGACGGACGACGGACGCATTACTATCGCATAAGCTCTTCTGGTCTCTGACCAGTAGAGCTAAAAATCACTTTGCTCTGAAAGTCAATTCATTGCAAGTGTGTTTGCTATAAGCACATTTTATTGTATGATACCAAGGATAATTCTGTATATCAAAGAGGCATGGAAGTCATAACTGCATGCTTGTTTTGATTAGGCTTCCTTATAGTGCAAGAGAGTATGACTTGAATGAGACAAAAAAGTGCTTTACAAATCAATATCCAAATATTTAAAATGACTTAAAAAATCTTTAATCCCTGTTCAATTACATGTACTGTAAACATATTACATTTGGCCATGAATTCTTTTTAGCGGCTTTAGCGGAAGACAGCAACCGCTAAATCAAATACAAAGCTAAATGTCTTGCACATATACACATAAATAAGAATATGAAGAAATGTGCTAAATCAAATCTACACTAACTTATTCAAAAATCAATTTCCACCAAATATCGTACACGCTAAATATAATACATTTACAGGATATACCTTTTCTGGGTTTATCTTATCGAATAACTGTAGAGTAATCATAATCCTCTTTTCTACTTCGTCCATCGTGTACACGGGTTTGCCTGCAGCATTCCGCCTCTGAATTTGCTGTGGCTGCACCTGTAATTCAATATATCAATTTATTACTTTTTTTTCAGTGAAATACTGTAATTTATTCACTGAAAAAAAATGATACTCTGTTACAGTCAGTCAGTATGAAAAACTGAAAGGATATTAAAATGATATCTTTTCACAGTCTGACAAATATCAGAAATGCTGTAAAGCTTTCAGTTTCCACGATTGTGTGTATGTTTGTTTGTGGGTGAGTGAGTGAGTTTTAAAGCTGTGTGAAAATGAAGTGAAGTAATTTTCATCAGAATCAATATCAAATGCTGCCTTGATTTATAGCAAGCACAGCGAGCAGAACAAAGTGCTGCATATCACTCCAAGCTCTTAAAGCAATGCCTGGGTGAAGAGAAAATTCAGAATTTGCACATTGATCAAAAAAAAAATTTCCCCGCAGTTACCTTTGATCCCATAATCCTTAGTAAAATGCATCTTGCCGCAAACTACATTCTTACAGGTAACAATTAAGACATTCCAAGAAAATAATTAGTTTGTCTTGATTTTAATGGATATATAGCAGATAAATCATAAGTTAAATGTTTTTTATTAAAATCTGCACTGTTCTGAGTAACCAGACTTCGATTAATGCAACATACATACAAAACAAATGGCACCTGTGGTTTGACGAGCTTATCTAAAAGTATCTGCACTCAACCCCAAATATTAGATATGCTCTTTGTGACAGGATGCTATGCTTTATGGTGTCCTTGTTGTAATATACGTTGAAACAAACTTAGATACATTTGTCCCTTTATAACCCCATAATGTATTGATTTTATTTGTCACTGACAAAATTTAAATTGGCAAAAATTTAATTTCAAGTTTCACAAATTCTGTAAATCAAATGAAAGGAATTTTTTTTTGTTTTTGTTTTTATTTAAATAAGAGTGTTATCCAACTTATGAGTGTATTTCGGATACAATAATTTAGTCTGTGATGTAAACATTAATCCCGAATTTTCTCCAAAATTCTAACATTACGTTTCCCCGTTGACGTGCCTAATTTATTGTCGCCATATTTTATTTTTCGTAAATAATGCAAGAAAAATAAACGAGAAGGAAGAACTTCATCTGTTTGATCTGTAACATACACTTTGTGAAATTAACAACAACAACAACAAAATTCGTGACCTACGCATTTTTACCACACACCGGCTTTGTTAATACGTACTTGACATAACTGATTTGTTGGGAATTTAGGATATCTGTTTAAACTGGAAGAGTGTCTGTTATAGACCATGGATACAGCACTCGCTCTACATGCCGTGTTTTGAACCATTAAACGGCTAATATTCAGTAGAGATCTCACGTTCCTCGCTGCAGCAGCCATTTTTTCTGTGTACGACCTTTTCTACTCGGAATGCCTCGTATGTAAAGTACAGTTGTCTTTCTTGATACAGTAAATGGAAGGCGGACCAAGGCAGTATTTCAATCAATGTTTCCAACCTTTACGACAGGCTGAATTAGGGGGAAAGACAATTTGATTTTGATTCTATTTTGAGTTTAGTGCAATTTAACATCACCCACTGCTGTCTTTTTATTAAAAGTAGAAATCTTAAATCAATGTATCTTGTCATTGGTCGTTTGCAAATTGTACTGACACAAGTACTCTGAAGTTGATATTAAAAAGAATGCTTGAAATGTCTGCTTGACAATATCTACGTGGTTTTTGAAGGTTTTCTACAATGTTTGAATTCCCATAGATGCCATTTGTGTGTCCGTTATTAGCAGACTTATTTTTGAATTCATATGTCATGATTTATATTAAGCAGGATTTAATAAAAATCTCAAATATATGAGAAAATAAAATTGTTGTGGCCTGCAGCTATAGACATTTTGATACAATTTTATCGACGGCGTATTATCAAGTGATTACATGTAACTATACCGGTATTTATTTCCATTCAGACGATATCCCAAAGATACCATGCACAGCTAGGGTGTGACCACTCAACAGGGGAGACTCATTCTTTCATGGCACCTGATCCAACCTTTTTTATGATCATCTTTTAGAGGTCATTGTTTGCTCTGCTCCTGATTTGTAATGTATGAATGGGCTTTTTAAATGTCCTAAAAGAAAAATTGATGTATGTATCTGTCCGAAATAAAAAAGAATACCGTGAATAGCCCCCCCCCCCCCCCCAGTTTTCTCATTTGTGCCGTAAAACCACCTCATCCACCCTTCATTTTTTTTTTACTATTAATGTTAACTTTTTTTGGAGGACAATGAATAGCATTGTTTACCGGTATAGCTCTTGTCACCCAGTAGGGTGTATGTGCGTGTGTGTGTGTGTGGGGGGGGGGGTGGTCTTTTTCTGGAAACATTTTTATGCAGTTTTAATATATGTATATGCTGTCACCCAACTTTCTACAGCAGTACTGTCAAATGCTGGAAAAGCCAAGCATTTGAAAAAACTTATAGAAAAGCCCACCCCCTTTCACAAAATAGGAATTTTAAGTGTTTTAATGGGTTTGTCAAATTATTTAAGTTTTGAGAAATCACCAATCTAATTAAAATTAGATCTTTGATCCGCTCCAGTTTGATCGCTACTTTGTGTAGCGATCAAACTGGAGCGGATCAAAGATCTAATTTTAATTACTTTGAAAAAACGTTGTTAAGGGTCTGAGTTCCTGCACCTAGATATGTCGTCGCTTGAGAATTATAATGTCCCAGTTGGAAAATTATCAAAATTAAAAAAAAGCCAAAGATAACGAAAAGCGATCATTGATCTAATAAACAAGATGTGTTTGTGAACACTGATGCCCCATAGTAATGGTTAAGGTGCCCCCGTACGCGTATGGCCACGTAGTCAAGGTTTGCTTTTTAAAAATAGGTCAAACTCCAAGGTCAAAGGGTCAATGTTAAAGGTTTCCATAAGGACGAAAATCTCCAAGTTCAAGGTCCAAATAATTGGTATCCAATAAAAGGTCTTGCCACGAGGATTAAATATATTACTAATATTACGTATTGAAGCTCTAGCCCTAACCCTTTAAAAGTAATGGTTAAGGTTTGCTTTTTAAAAGTAAGTTACTCCATGGCCAAGGTCAAAGGGTCAAAGTTATTGATATCCAATGAAAGGTCTTCTCACAAGGATTGGACTTGTGAAGTATGAAAGCACTAGCATTTGCCGTTCAAAACTTATGGCCAAGGTTAAAGTTTTTTTCACAAGTACAGAAATTTCCAAGTTAAAAGTGTCAACGTTGTTATTATCCAATGAAAGATATTTTTACAAAGAATACATATGTGAAGCATAAAAGTCCTGGTATCTACTGTTCAAAAGATATTGCCAAAGTAAGTAAAAGTTTGGAATATTTGTGTAAAAGTGGGTCAAACTCCAAGGTTAAGGTCAAAGGGTCAATTTGGTGGTACTCAAAAAAAAAGTCTTGTCACAAGGAATACACATGTGAAATATGAAAGACATAACAGTTAGCTCCAGTAAATCAAAAGTTATGGATTGGGCAATGTTAAAGTTTTTGCGGACAAACAGACAGATTGAGAGACAGCTAGACAGACAGACGGACGGACACGACAAAAACTGTATAACCCCGAAACTTCGTTTACTGGGGCATAAAAATAACGATCGGGTTAGAGCAAGTCATCAATATGATGACGTCATAATGAGACACGTCATAATGAATGAGCGTCACAAAGGTTGCGAACCATTTCTTGTCGGCCAGAAAACATTTGGATTAATCTGCGACCGTAAATCATTTATTATCTTAAAAGATGGAGATTTTGCGAGATAAAACGATTGAACAATGTCTTTTATCGAGTTTGACGGATTATTTGTCGAAAACAAAGACTGGAACAATGGCCACAGTGGTAAGCTTCAACGGAAACTTTTTATTTTGATAATTTTGTTTTTTAGGAAATTAATAAAGTTCTAAACTATTTTAAATAAATCAGTGAATATGAAATGTATTTAATGTAATCAGGAATGTCCATTGTATTATTCCTTTTCATTTACTTTCTAGAGACGAAACATTTTACAAATGGCAATATTTCTCTTTGGGAAAGAAACCACGGATAGATATGGATTTGTGTATTCCGAAAAGAAAGACGTTGCTGGTAAGACAATGAAATGTATATATATATATATATAAATTCAAAAAAAAAAATTCAATTTGCAAAAAGTTCTCAGAAGATTACAAACCCGTTGTATATACCGGTATATGTTTTTATTACCAGTGCAACAGAAGAGATTTTTGATATTCTCCCATTTGTTCCTCGAGGTCCTAAAGAAAAACACTATTTCGGAAAAAGCCATTGCCATTCACAACAATCTGTGGTCTCAGCATTTGCAGCACTTGGCCAACTGTGGTAAGTTTAATTCATTGTGTTTGTTATACCAGGTATTAACAACCAAACATTTTTACGTTGAAACAGTACAGTATTTCATAAAGTTTTTTTTTATTTTTAATTTTTCTCCGTTAAATTTTCAATTCCGTTTAGAATAATCAGATATAATTTTCATCAAAACTAATAAGATTTTTTTCTTCAGGAAATGAGAAGGCAGCAAAGCGTTTCATAAGAATTTTGGAGGACAGGGATGAAACTGTTTTTAATGTAAGTACCATCTCTGGGACACTTTTAATATTTAAAGTCGGGCTCATTGCATCTCAAACTTCAGACGTGTTTCTTGTTGATCCTAAATCCTTTACAATATCCCCCAGTCTACAGTTATTTAAAACAAATCAATTTTATTATTACAGATAAAGAGACTTCAGCATCAGCTTAAATCCGTAGATCATAAGACGGGAATCGAAGAGAATACAATTAAGTTCCGCTGTAGGAAACCGAATGTATTTGAGATAATCGTAATGAAGTTGAGAAAACTGTATTAAAATTTAAACATTTCCCCCAAAGTTGCAGGACATCAACGAAGAATTCGTATACATGACGTGTGGCAGTTCAATTAAATGACGTCATATAACCACTCAGCACCACCACCGCCATCATCACCATCTTACCATTACCACAATCATCAGTTCCTGTACTTGTTTTTTTTTTTTTCAAATTGATTTCATCAAAGAATTATTTCCATTATAATGCATCTGCTTTTAAGTTTTAATCATTTTTTCTTTGTAATTAAAATTAAGATTTGGAGTCATTGATAAGAATTAAACCCATTTATCACTTTTTATCCCTTATGTTGTTGTTTTCATTCCTAGCTGCTGTAAATAATAAAAATGTTTAATGACAGAAGGCATACTCTCAGGAATTCCTAAATTTGCTTTGTGCCAGTTATGGTATAAATTGCTCCTGGTCTGATGCTTGAAAATATATACATGTAGTTGAATTTCTTCTTTAAAATCCTACACTCCTCCAGTATTTTCAATCTGAGAGGCCCGAAAAGGTGCAATTGCACGTTCCACAGTGGGATTCGATCGCGCAGTGTAAGAATCAACTCTTTACTCTGTGGATTTCTTTTCATAAATAAAAGGAATTCCCTATGATATAAGTTACTATTGTAGAATGGGGATATTTTTATTTATGAAAATCACTGCATTTCATTTCCGTATTTCTGCATAGCATTTCCGACATATTTTTTTTATTTCATTTCCCATACATTTTTTAATTTCATTTCCGACATTTTTTTTTCATTTTCGGAATTTACCTGTGCGGCAATTTAATGTTTTCCAAGTGATTGAAAATGAAATTTTAAAAGTAGTTATTGCAAAATATTGATTAAAAATATAAAAATGTCAGTGATAGCACCAAAAATATATATCCAAGACACTTGATGTATCCTTATCGAGATTTTAAGTTTCGGTACTGTTTTACAAAGAACTTAATTTGTTCATAGGTAAGTCTTCAGATCTTTTACTAAAGGTACTATCTTAAAAATGTCTCGGAAATGAAAACAAAAAAAATGTCGGAAATGAAAACTAAAAAATGTCGGAAATGAAAAGTTGATAATAACAAAAAATCTGGAAATGAAATGCAGCCATGAAAATAAAGGTTTATAAAAACGTCAAGTGCCTGTGGTCAATATCCAGTTGTTTTAACGAGGTTGTCTCCTTATATTTAAAGTCAAACTTTTTTGTCAAGTATATTTTTACTTTCTACACACATAGCTTAATTAAATAAACTATAAGGATATCTAAAAAAAAAAAAAAGAAGAAAAAAAAAAAACTTAAAATTGATGGAATGCCATATACGACAGCCAACTGCTTACTGCCAACTGCTGACTGCTTACTGTCAATTGTCAGCTGCTTACTGCCAACTGCCACACATATTTGAATAAATTTTATATTTGTATTGATATTTATATGAATTTTCACAAAAAGGGAAAAAAGGCACGGATCCAGGACATTTTTTTCAAGGGGGTCACCCTTGAAGAGAGAATAATAATAAAAAAGATTTGTCGTTTCGCAGAGAAAGATGTTTTGAAAATAAATTTCCGTTTTCCATTATATTCTATAGTTAAAAATTTCCTCAAATTAAAGATGTATATCTCTGTATGTTATAATGCAGGCACGTAGCATCGTTTTTGAAAGAAGGGGGGTACAGAATTTTTTTTTACTTACCTGAAAAAGTTGACAAGCAAAAAAAAAAAAGGAAATAGCCCAAACTCGAAAATCCTATTTCGTGGGGTGGGGTGGGGGGGGGGGTGGGGGGTGGGGGGGGGGGGTAAGTGGCTAACTTTTTTTTAAGGCCAGCTACCTTTCACTTACATTTTTTTCCACACAATAATACATATCCTTGATATCATTATACTATGGTAAGAAGTGGGGGGAGAGGGGGGGGGGGGCAACCATCCTTTCAATATACATTTTCAATAGTAAAGGTAATGTTGGGAAAAAAAGTGGGGGGGGGGGAGGCCCCCCCCCCCTGGCCCCCCAATGTTGCTACGTCCCTTTAATGTTTCACATGCAAAGAACTGGGGGGGGGGCATTTAAAATATGTACAGTCATACGTTAAATAAACTAAACGAACTCCCGGTATAACTGACCTTGGACCTTCTACTTAGAAAACGCCGATCAAACATTTATATCTCTTTGTTTGTACAAATAAAATATGTTTTACATGCATAGATCTAGAGAGAGGGGTCCGGAACACCCCTCTGAAATTTGTAAAGTTACTTAATGCACAAACTAAACCAACTAAAAGTTATTTAATGTATAAAATATATCAACTAAAAGGGACCTTAGAACCACCCTCCCCCCTCCCCAACCGAAAATGTGGATTCGTGTTAAGTTGGTATGAAAAATGTCATACACATGAAGGTATGACGCATAAGAATCCCCTCTCCCCGGCCGAAATAAATTTTTCAAATTTAGGAAAGGACTTTACGTATTTTTTTCTTGTCAAGAAATTTCTGGGTTGGATTTTTTTTTACCAGACTTACCCTCTTGGAAAAAATGTCCTATAGATCCGCGCCTTTTTTTAAAATTTACATAAATATCAATATAAAAATAAAATTTATTCAAATATGTGTGGCAGTTGGCAGTAAGCAGCTGACAGTTGACAGTAAGCAGTCAGCAGTTGGCAGTAAGCAGTTGGCTGTCGTATATGGCATTCCATAAAATTGTGAATGAGATAAAGTTTCAAATTGCTTCGCATAATCAATTATTTGACCTTTTTACACTCACAAAATGTGATTTTTCTGGCATTGAAAATGTAATAGGCAATAAAATTATTTTTAAGTCTTAAACTTTTGCAGAATTTAAGCTGGGTGGTCAAATTTATCTTTTTCATTTAAAAAGTCACTCCCTACCACCTGCGCTAATGATAAATTTTCAAGGTAATAATTTTATTTAGTTAGTAACTTAAAAATGTTTTTTGAATTTGAAACAATCTTTGAAATATATATATTTTTTTATACCTTATGTCAAAAATGTTGATTTGAGCCCATTGCAGGGGTGTTTCTTGAGAAGCCTTTGTACTTTTGTAATGAAATTCTATACCAGCATTCCCCATTGCCCCAACAAGCTTTCTAAAATATTAACTCAGTTCATTATACCCCGGCTAAAAAAGCGGGAGAGTGTATGTATATACAGTGATCGGGATGTCTGTCCGTCTGTCTAGCTGTCTGTCTGTCCGTTCGTCACTTTTGATATTTTATGGCTATATTTAGATATACATGTGTTAGATACTAGTTGGATTAAATCAATAAACTATGTGAGTTGATGCATATTGGGTCCTCAGTGTCCGTCAACTTAAAAGTAGGTCACTGTGACCTAATTTTTTAATACTAGTATTTGGTCCATATTTAAGTTATTTAAGGTACTACATGTAAATGGCATAAGATATCAAACTTTGTCAGTTTATGCATCTTGGGTCCTCAGAGTATGTCAACTGAAAAGTAGGTGACTATGATCTTGTTTTGATATTTTACGGCTGTATTTAATTAAATATACTTATTAGCTTTACTCAGTTTATTCTGTCAGTTAATGTACATGTATTTTGAATCAACAGAATATGTTAAGTATAAAAGAGGCCAAAATGACCTTAATTTGGAATTTCAATGCAATTTCTAAGTATTTTTAACAATAAGAAACTTGAAATCATCAAACTTAGTCAGCATGCAGGTGCTTTTGGGTCTTGTAGTGCTTTCATACCAAAACGTAGGTCCTTTGACCTATTTTTTGGAACCTCATCGCTATATCTGAATATTTAAGACAGTAAGAGGCTTAGAATCAGCAAACATTGTCAGTTGATAAATCTTTGGTACTCAGATTGATTTAACCAAAATATAGGTCACATTGACCTAATTGTAAGGCGTTATCTTCATATACAGGATTCCCAGAGGGTAGAAGTGATAGGATGTACAATTTGTCAGAAGAGAAATCCAAGGCCCTTGGACCTCTTGTTATGAACGTACGTGGGTGATATTTTTTTTCAACACGCTCAAATATAGATTTAAAAAGACAAGAACTTTTAATCTTAACCCCACTTGGCTTGGACTTATGCAAATATACAAAAGTAATTTTTTAAAAAGCAAGTGGGAGGTTATATAGTAATCGAGTTTTCCGTCCGTCAGTCTGTCTGTACGTCTGTTTGTTACGCTTTGGGGTACCCAACTCTTATCCGCAAATCCTCTTATACCACTCGAATGAAATTTGATGAGACTTTCACAAAATCTTTATTACATATTGCCATTGTGCACCTCCTATTTCACTTTTTGATCCGACATATATTTTGGGTTTCCCGTAGCAAAATCAACATGGACACTGTCATTATATTCATATGGGAGGAGGGGGTATCAATTAGCGAGCTCATTGCTTAGTTTGTACCATTTGATCATTGAATCATATACATATAATAATTATTGTTTTTTCAGTAATAAGATGATTAAGCCACCTTCGAAGTATAATATATTTCCCTGGACAGGAATATTATCAGTCTATTTTACATGACACTAGAGATAAGTACATGAAAATTAAAATACAAGAATGCTTTGAGACGCACGCACACAACCTCCAAAGCATGCACATCCTCACACAATCACCCCATTATAAACTCTGTACTGGTATATCTAGGACTTCTTCTTTCAAGAGAGCATAAGTAATAAAGCATCTATACACAATGTTATGTACATATACACGTAACAAATTATATGAATCTTGTCCATCTAGCTTGCACAAGCATTGGCGTAAGGCTTAGCCCCCTCCCTCTCACTTTTTTGCAAAAATAGACATTATATAGCCTTATCAATTTGCTTCCGACGCCTATGCAAGTAAACTCTTAAACTCTAAATATTCAGTCATTCATTCGAGAATGTGAGTTGGAAGGCTTTCCGTCTTTTCAGTCTTTCAAAGTAGGACAGAATCGATGGGTGATTTTTTAGCAGTTCTCCATTTTGCATCACACTAGCCCACCAAATGTTGTATCCTAGTACGCAATCTGCTGCCGTGAATCTGAAATTAGAATGTGTTTTTTATTTAATGCGTGAGTACATCGTACGTAGAAATAACTGTAGGACTCTTTTTATTTGGATTAACATAAACTTCGTACTTATCCCCGCATATGTATTTTCTGTTGCGTAGTAATTTTTCTATATGGGTGGCCGAAGATCCAAACTTTGAAATCATATTTTGAATTAAGACATTGTCCCTTTTATCTGGCTCTACAAACATCCATTGGACGAATAGCTGTTCAAGGATTTCATCGACTGTGGCACAGCAGTAAAATATGATGCTGAAACAAAAATAAAGGAATTACGTGGTGTTTCTGTAATCTATGTTAAACCTTTTGTTGATATAGACAAATACTTGTATATAAGGGCAGGTTTAAAAACAGATAATTTACAAACTCTTCTGCCACTTACTTGAGGAAGTCCGCTTTTCTGTCTTTCTCTGGTTGGAGTTTTTGGTAGAGATCTGCAAGATACATACAGATGGCGCCTGATTCTATCAAGGGTTCTTTCCCCTCTATCTCAAGTGCTGGCACTGTGCCAAGATGATGAACATTGTTTCGATAATGGTCAATATTGGATTGGTTCGTATCTCTTGAATTATATAACTGAAATTGGACATCATCTGTGGCTCCCAGTTCTGGAAAAAAAGTTTTGGTGTAACTGCTTATGGTTTTAGTTTTTGTAATTCAGATTACTTGTGCATTACCTGCTGTTTATAGCCATGTTTAACAAGATGCGTTTGTGAAACACTGATGCCCACTATGGCAACATAGCGAAGATTAAACTTTTCTTATATGCAAATTTAATATATTGGTATCAAAAGTAGGGTATTCTCACTGGAAAATACAATTTTGAAATATGAAAGGTTAAAGTTTTTTTTCCTAAGTACGGAAATTTCCAAGATCAAAGCAATTAGTATTCAATGAAAGGTTTTGCCACAAAGAATACATATGTGAAGTATGACAACCCTAGCCCTAACCCTTCAAAAGTTATGGCCAAGGTTACCGATTTTAAAAAGTAGGTCCAACTCCAACGTCAAGGTCAAAGGGTCATCATTCTTGATATCAAATGAACGGTCTTGTCACGAGGATTACATAATTATGTGAAGTATGATTTCGCTAGCCCTTGGCGTTCAAAAGCTATGGCCAAGGTTAAAGTTTTTCATAAGTACGGAAATCTCCAATGTCAAGGTCAAAAGGTCAATATTATTTTTATCTAGTTAAAGGCCTTGCAACAAAAAATACATATTTGAAGTATTAAAATACATACGTCTGTCTGTCCGTTGTAAACTTTAACCTTCGCCATAACTTTTGAACCTTTAGAGATAGAGACTTTATATTTGGTTTGCATAATCCACTAATGAAGTTCTTTCAAATGAACAACAAGGTCAATGACATTGTGACCTTGACTGTGACCTACATGCTAAAATTAGCTTTTTCGAACTTTTGCCATAACTTCGAACCATAAGAGATAGAGACTTCATATTTGGTATGCATACTCCACTAATAAAGTTCTTTCAAATGACACACAGGTCAATGACCTTGTGACCTTGACTGTAAACTATATACTTAAGATAGCTTTTTCGAACTTTCACCATAACTTTTGAACCATAGGAGATAGAGACTTCCTATTTGGTATCCATATTCCACTAATAAAGTTCTTTCAAATGACATTAAGACCAATGACCTTGACGCCGGTTGCATAGTGTTCATCTTTTCTTAAGTGGCTTAAAATTCAACCAAGACTAAGAAGTCTTATGCACAGGCACTTGACGTTACTTATTTTTCTTTTGATAAAACAAATATACTCCTACCTAATAATAAACGTTTATTATTAGGTAGGGGTATATTCTTTTTATTAAAACAAAAACAAGTAACGTCAGGTGCCTGTGGTCTTACGTACTGATAGACGGGGTGAATAAGGATCAGACGTGCTATATTTTCTTGTTATCACCCGAGAGGAATATGACCCGGTCAGCTTGCTCTTTGCGACTACCTTAAGTGTACTTAGTAATTTAATTCGTCGGGTTCCTATATTATCATATAAAGAGAATTAGCACTGAGGAATTTTAAAAGATAAAACATAATTTTTAACACAGATTTTAATTTAAACATTAGACATGTTAATTTGTAGTAATGCTGGGCTATTTTAGAAAGAAATGATACATGTATAAGGAAGAATGATGCTTTATTTTACGAAGGACCGGAGCGTTCTTAGGTGTTTGACCCCAGTATTTGCATAGTAATTTGCTTAAGAAATAAGGTATCATTTTTAAACATTTATGATGAATTTAATCTTGTACCAACCCGTATTTATAGCCCGATAGATGTTTTTTTAAAATGATACCTTATTACTTATATTTACATTTGTGACTTATTCATACTTTATATTTGCCTGATTGTGACTTTTAAAGTGTGAAATGCGTTATTTTTCAAACCCAACGGCATGTATGTAATCCTCTGAACGCGCGTCGACCCTTTATGACGTCACTGAGAAATTACGTCAAACGATTATCCATACGCACATCTATGACCTCTTGACCCCGTACCTGTATTTATACAGTTATAATATAATTTCACTTGATTCAAGCAATTTGATTGGCTGAATCATTCAGAGGAACATATAATATTTTGGATAACATAACTTGCCTACGTCACAATGAGTTACGTCAAAAATATATTACTCCGCTGGACGTTACTTTTAAAAGAATGCTCAATTTGATGTCTTTTTCCGGAGGAAATATTGTCTCATTGTCTACACTGGAATTAAATTATAAGGAATGAAGCTAATTTCAACTTATGTTATCCGATATAACAAAACTTGGGTCAGTTTACGCTTTTTTATAAACCGCTTCGCGGTTTATAAAGCGTAAACTGCCCCAAGTTATGTTATATCGGATAACATAAGTTGAAATTAGCTTCATTCCTTAAATAGATACACATTGCTTTCAGTAGTGTTATATATAGAGGAAAACATTTGCAAATGTAAATATATAGACTTAACAACCAGGTGATAAAATAAACGATTCAAAAACGACACTTAGGTCATCGCTTCAGTGACCTTTTAAAATGGGTTATCATCCTTGTTATCAACCTTGATATCCAGCACGCCAACGGTAGACTTCTGTTTTTGTTATTAATCACCTGTTTCATAATAATAAAAAATAGCTTAAAGATCAATTATAAAAAAGGATTTTCAAAAATTCATTAAAACTACATTGCTAGAAATTGACGAAAGATATATATATTACCTTAATTTTGCGTATTAACCCCCCCCCCAAAAAAAAACAAACAAACAAACATTCGAAAGCCCATTGAGCTCATTTTGGTAGGTATAAAAAAAAATTTCGTGTTATAACGCGAAACCTTCGCAAATAAACGCGTAACTTTCGCGATATAACGCATAACTTTTGCGTTATAACGCAAACTTTCACAAATAAACGCGTAATTTCGCGAATTAACGCGTAACTTTCGCGTTATATTGCGAAAGTTTCGCGTTATTACGCGAAAGTTATGCGTAAATTAGCGAAACTTTCGCGAATAAACGCGTAACTTTCGCGTTATAACGCGAAACTTTCGGGTTATTTCGCGAAATAATATGCACATATAATAATGTTACTCAGGAACCTTGATCTTGACTGACAGATAAGAACATGAAAACAGTTTATCAATTTGAAGTCACCACAAACTGTGATTATTCTGTTTGTTTTAATATTTCAATAGACTTTTAATTTTAAGTTATTTCTTGATTAATTGTCAGAATTAAAATTACAGCTAAAATAGAATTAAGTGCGGCGAAAACTATGCCAAATAACGTGGAAGGTGCAAAAAGTGAGAAAAAAAATAACTGACATTCATTATTTTAGGTTTTTACTTTTTTCCCCCAAAAGGAGATTTGTGATACCACAGTATTTGAACATTTCAAACCTTGATGGGATAAATAAAAAAAAAAAGTCCATTATAAATTTCTCACTAAAAAAAAATAGTAAAGTCTTACCATGAACAAGCCATATGCATCGGTTGGAGCGAAAGTTTGGGAAATAATAAAGTCGCATTTTACATTTTTTATCCTTTATATTCTCCATGTTCGCTCCCTACTGACTGTTCTGTCGTGCCTGTTATCCACTCAGGAAGCGCTCTATATAACATACCAGGTAACATCTAATGACCTTAAAGAACTCGTGTTGGCATCACATAGTTGAGATAAAAAAATAACAACAACAATGAACCCTTAAATTAAGGAAGGCCTATACTTTTACGGATCTGGTTTTAATTTTACACATCAATATAAAATTCTGTCGATTATCACTTGTTCATTGAAATAAAATCTTTTTGGGTCATTGAAATAATTAAGCAAGTATATTATACAATTATGGACTCTTTTGGTGTGGAATATGGTTTGTTATTCACCAGAAAAATATCCATATTGACCGAGGCGAAGCCGAGGTCAATATGGATATTTTTCTGGTGAATAACAAACCATATTCAACACCAAAAGAGTCCATAATTGTTTTATTATATAGTCGGGATTTGAATAAAAAAGAGAGTGAAGGCTGTATGACGACACCTTTTTCATTTGCGATCTTCCATTGTTGAAAATAGAAAAAATTCTCCAGATTACTCTTTGTAACCTCCGTGTTTTCCTTTCCGAATTTTGCTATATGTAAGACGTCCAAACGTTCAAAAAGAATCCTGAAATAGGTTTGAATAATTGTTTTTCTGCTCAGAAACGTAGCTCGCTGCAGCCGGTGCAACAATTGTTTACAACGTTGTTCAATGTTCTGATTGTGACGTCACAATGCCGTGGCACGCGCATTGACCCTCCGGTGAATACGGCCTAAAATCCGGTGAATATGTAGTGTTATGAACTGCTTGCGTTTGTATAGACTATATAGGGACTATAAATAGACTATATAATAAATCTGTTTATTATAATGTTATTGTGCATACAAAGCATTTAATATACCTTATTTATGGAAATTAACACTTTACACTATCTCCATAGGATCTATATGTCATTTGGTACATACACAGACGCAAAATTCTTGATTGCTTTTATTGACCTTAAACTTTTTAATTTTCTTTTAAGCAAAGTAACTTGAGATCTCTTTTTTATTGATTTTAAGTCTATATCGTCTATTAAATAGAGACAAATAAAATTTATTAGAGAATATCAATATGCCAAAAAAGGCTTTAAAGATGAGTTCGTAATTTTGCATACATTTTCCTCGCATTAAAACATTGAAACTAAAACATGTAAATAGTATAAACTTGTAGTAAAAGAAATGTTATGGTAGCCTTTAGATAAAAAAAACCTATTGCACTCTTTAAAAACTCAGGTACATGTATTTAAAATGTAAACTGTGACAATACATGCACTTTCTTTTTATTCTGTGTATTGTACAGACTTTTAATGTCCGGGGGGAGGAGGTGGTAGGTGCTGTCTGGAACTTTTTTAAGATAACTACTTTGATAATGAAACAGATCCAATTAAGGTAGGACAAAACACCCGTGGATTCTATTTTAACCCATTTCTTAAAAAAGTCCTGGAGGAAAAAAGAGTAATATTACTGTACTGACAACAATGAATGATCCCTGAAAGAAAAATAATAAGTTTTGGCAAATTTGCTATATATTTTTTGAAAAAATCAGAGAATTCTATATATTGGTCGTTTGGGAGCTTACATTTTGTAATGTGTTTACGCTATCTAAGTGCAATAAACAAGCATGTAAGAGTCTGTTATAAAATGCAGTGCAACTTTTGTTCCATAAATAGTAGAGGGCTGATATTAAGATACATATATAAGGAGTCTCTATTCTTATGTGCTACAAAGGTCAAGGTCATATCAAGAGGTCAAAGGTCAAATATTGTGACGTCATCTACGGAATCTTTTAGTTTTTTGCCATTGAATTTTTTTTTAATCACCAAAATATCTGAAACCACCGGTTCAATTTTCTTTATTTTTACACATTCTATTCTAAGACCCATTTGAATCATTCTGTTGATTTTTTGTAAAAATTGAATTATACATTTTCTCTTATGAAAACTTAAACAGTCGGATATTTAAATGTGAATTTTCAGTTTCTGACACAATGTATGTTCTTTTTTATTTAATGTTTTACCCAAATTTTCCAGTATCAATGTGACTTACTGATTTAAAGTAACAAAAAGGTTATCTTTATTAAAAGTATTACACAAATTCGCAATAGATCAATAGAAAATTCTAAAATAAGGCTCGTTCTCAAGTCGAATGTTTGATTTCACAATCTTCTTACAGGGGTCTGAGAGGCCATATTTCAGACTATGTGGGCAAAAAATGAGCGGTTGAATTTCTTTCAAATCATATATAAAGAGAGATTTTGTACTAGAACAAAATATCAAAGTTTCAGAAAAATTGAATTTGAGGAAAAATTTGACCTATCTATTTGGTCCTACCTTAAGTTCCCCTGCTTACCGGGTAATTGGGATTGAACCCGGGGCATCTGGCTTGCCATTTCATTCCTCTATACCGTGTCTTAACCCACCAGCCCTAGCTAGTAGGCCTATAGGAAGCTATGTATATTGTTTGTACTACAATAATAGGATTTTTTCATCTACATGTTGCTCATTTCCTTTTACTGTTGCAGTGATGTAGATTTCTGCAATTTTCTTGGATTAAAAAAAGTCATAAATGGGAATATCTTTTAGAGGGAGAGAAGATTTTTGATTTGAGTTTCGTTCTTTTTCCCCTGTCAATCATTTCGGTGCCCCCCCCCCTTTTTTCGTTTTTTAAAGATATAGTTTAGGATGTTTATTTTTATTATTACGATGAAAAATCTTAATTATTGATATTTTTAAGGGAATCAAATCTAAAATTTGAAAATATAAATATCATCAAATTATTGGATAGCTTGACGTTATTTTACGATTTTATGTTATGAAAATTCATGCAGTTATGCACGCGTACACTGTACGTCAAAGTAAATATTCCGTCTTTGTCATGCGATATTTTATACATTTATACACAGAAATATATATCATGTTATACATCAAATGAAAGAGAAAGAAAAACTCTACAAGAATCAATAAAAAACTGAAAATGTCAAAATTCTTCGTAAAGGGAGGTTTTTGCTTGGCGCGTCACATTTAATTTTTATTTAAAAAAAAAGTGCAGTGAACAATTGAAAAATTGATATTCCAAAAATAGGGGTATACGTCCACAGGTACTTGTGGACAGGACCCCCCCATATATACACCCCTGGTCAATATATATATATATATATATATATATATATATATATATATATATATATATATATATATATATATATATATATATATATATATATATATATCCAAAAATGAAAGAAATATCACAGTGTCCGGTAATTAATATTAGAAAAAAATTGACAAGGCAACAATGTTAGTAAAACGTAAGCGCTTACGTTTTACTAACATTGTTGCCTTGTCAATTTTTTATATATATATATATATATATATATATATATATATATATATATATATATATATATATATATATATATATATCATGAATTATGTTTCTAGTACTTATTTACAAAGTATTCCATATGAAAAATCCAGAAAATAACAGATTTAACGATTTACTATAAAAGTCAAACCCTGGTATTATAAAATAGAGAAGGTAGGTCACTTCGGTTTGTTAATTCGGACCCCTCTTGAATATCGGGCCTAAAATATCATATACCTACTACGTGTCACCAAAATGTGTCATGATATCTTGTTTTGGTAGACATTTTTGTATTTAATCGTGCCATTTAATTGTCCAGACATTCCCCAATTAACAATTGTCAACAACAATTTAAAGTTTCAGATGTTATTTATTTTTTAACCAATGAGAAGCTATTTCATTTTTTTGAGAGACGCTATTGCCATGCCTTACTGAAAGTCCAAGGATGACTGAGAATTGTACTATTTGATTTTGAAATTTTTCTGAGTGTTTTCCTTTTATTATAAGCATACTTGTGTAAATTACTTAGTAACAACTTTAACACTAAAATGTACTTTTTGAACGTGTTGAGAAAATTACTTTGTATGTATCTTGGGAGGTTTTGATATAAATACGTTTTGTGTTTAGCTTGCATCAAAGTATTGAAGAACAGAAATAATTGTGTAATAGTTAACATAAATATGGAAATATAATGCAAATTAGTGAAGTGTTTAACTATTAGTATTTTTGCAGTATCTAGTTCTAAAATGTTGCTCTGTTGAACAATTTAACGAATTATTAAACTGTATTGATTTCAATTTATTTTTTGATCTAAGAGCAGACTAATGTAAATGACATAAAACCAGATATTGGACAGTACATGTGTTGTGAAGACGGTCTTTAATCATTAATTGTTGTTGTTTATAAAAATATTTGCACTCATTGCAATGTGTGCCTGTTGTAAAATAAAATCAGACATTGTTTTTTTGGATGAATAAAAAATTCAGGATAAGGCCAAAAAAATTAATTTTTTGGTTCTCAGGCCCTCCCTCATCTCTTCCAAGGGTGCCTCATTGACCCTTTTTATTGCTAAATCAATAAAATATAAACACCAAATCACCTCCCTCATCATTTTTTTAGGTTTTGTACAATGTAAAAAGCTGCCTCATCATGTTTTGGGGGCAATAAAAAAGGAAAAAAAAAATGTCTCCCTCCCTCATCTTATTTCTTGAAAAAAAAAGGCCTGAGAACCAAGTAATTAACTTTGCATGGCCTAAAGTATATGAATATTTACTCAATTAGATAATGAATTTTAGTAACATTTTGTATTGAAAAACCATATGTGTTTATTATAGAATTCTAAAGTATCTTTTCATTCAACAAAGCAAGATTGATGACATCATACAAGCAGCATCTGCGTCGCACGGCCAAAATTTAAATGTTTCTGAAAATTACAATACCTTTACATGTCTATCAACAATTATCACTGAAAATCGTGATAGAGCCATTTTAAGGCATTGATGTGCTTGTAATAACAATTTTATTTTAGACAGTTTTTCTATATATTTTTTTACTGAAAAATAAAGTGATTATTGTAAAATCATATCTTTTCAAATTACATGTATTGGTAATATAAGCTGATTTTTTAGTCTAAGAACATGTTATGGTACTATGATTTTATAGTTCTCGTTATCCTAAAAAATAAGCAGTAATTAATATGATGTAAAGTATGTTGTGTCTTTAATTGGAAATTCAGATATAAACAATGCATTTTGTACACAACATTTTTTGTTAAAGAAATAAAATACAAAAAAAAAGAAATATTAATTTGCTTCGATTATGGCACAAACAGATGCCAGTCTGAGAATATAATTAAAGAAATACATTTAAATTTGTAAAAAAAATTCTAAATTTACTAAATTCCAGAAAAAGTAAATTTAATTACGGATTAAAGCTGGAATGTTATCATGCCCATTAATAATAATATATTACAAAAATCAATAACATATCAAGAATTTGGCACAATCAAGAGACATTTTTTTAATATACATGTATATGTATTTCTATCACCTTTGTCATATTCATATCACATCTACATAATACACAAAACAACTTATTCCTGAAAGACTGGATGGTTAATAAGTACTTATTAGGAATATAATAGCACATAGTCAAAACAAAGAATACATCAGGATTTTACAAAATAACGACTCTTGAAACTGACTTTGTGAACCTGAGGAAAAAAAGGAAACTCTAAGATCAATTGGTTTAAAAAAAAAAATTGGGACAAAATTAAGGTTACGTAGAGAAAATAACATAACTGTTTTTGATTCTAAAAGTTTGAAATGTCTGGTTATATTTACTTTTCATTAAGACTGCTGGCCACTTTTTTTGCTATGATAACAATGGCAACCACAGCTCCTAATCCAAGAGTGACCTTGACAAATGTCCTTGACCTGCTTCCTTTCGATTTGGTGTGTGGAAGGAAACTGGAGGGTCCATACGCTGTGGTGGCAAGTTCCTGGGCAGACACAGCCTGAGGTCGAAGGTGAAACAGAATCTCATTAGCAGCTCTGAGTCCTGATTGGACGGCACCATTCATAAAGCCGCACCATACGGTGGCCGATTCTGTCCCAGCAAAATGAATCCTGAGAATGTTCAAAAAAACTTTCAAAATAGCACAAAAAAAATTCTCAAGTGTAACCTCTAAAAATCAAACAAAAAAAAGTAAGAAATTCTGTTACTTGGAAATAAAAATAAAGGGAATTACTGATGCAAACATTCTGGTAACAGGAACATTTTTATTTCAATTTAACAAGCTTGCTTTTTTTTTTTTAAAGGAAATCAGTAGCCATGTAGATTTTAAGAGGATTTTTAGAAATTTTCCAACATACGGTGTATTTCAATGTAAGGATTTTGAATCCTATCCCATATACCCTGGCAGCTATAGGTTGAAAAAAAATTTGAGTATCCTTACAGGTATTTATAATTTTCTGGCCAAGTTGTTCTTGAAATCTTGTAGTAGTTTTATTGAGAAAAAAAAAATTTAAAATCAGTTTGAATTAAGTTTGATGTACACTCTACTGTCATTTCATCAAATGTACTATGGATTTTAGCAAAAACAAAATGTTGATGATTCTGATTTGTGGACGGCTATCTTGTTATTTTCTCATATATGGCTTATTTTCTGAACAACTACTGTATACTGGGTTATTTTTGCCCCACATTATTTTCGGCCTTTTACACTTGTAAACAATTTTGTGTATTTATAAAACAGACGTTTTTCAAGGATATATAATTTTGTGGACAAAAGCATTGCCTAAACAAGTGAATAACATTTTTTTTAATTCAATTATTATTTAAATTCATGGATATGCTCAACAAAAAATTCCTTGAAAATTGGTGCTCAACGAATTTTGATGAAACCACAGTAGATACCGCTTATTCTCTGAGCAACTACCACTCAAAGCTCGGACTGTGTAGATACCTGTTGAAGGGAAGTCTAAGTCCTGCAGCAAAGTAAGCCATGGCCCCTGGTCCTACAGTACACACAGGGCAGCCTTCATTATAGGGCTCTACACTCCAGTCTTTTTCTACGTAATCCAGATAATTCAGTGCCTCAGGTCCTAAGAAATCTGAAAGGGATTTTAATACCGCCGATCTCCTGTCTTCTTTCTACAATAGTATATAGCTCATCATAAACCAAGTGGAAGCAAATAATATAAATAATTACAAAAAAAAAAAAAACATCAAACAAATTTAGAAATCTGAAAGGAATTTTAACACTATGGATCTCCTGTCTTCTTTCCTACTATTATTGTATACAGGGTTATTTTTTCCCCATGTTATTTTTGCCCTTTTACACTTGCTGAAAAATTTGCCTCGTTTTAAATTCAGTCCCAGTTCTGTTTAAGAATTTACACTGTGTTCATTGAAATTTGCCCCATTTTAAATTCACCCACTTGTGACTAGGGCAAAAGGGGCGAAAATAAAATGGGGGCAAAAATTTCCCTGTATACAGTATTAAAGCACATTTAAATTAAATCATCTCTCTGGTTCTCATTGGTCAGAGATTTAAAATTTTGAATATGTCTATTTCAAGTTAAAACTCACTAAAAGTATACAGTCAAACCTGGCTACTCCAGACACCACTTGTTAGAGAGAAATTGCCAGATTAAACAAAATTCGAGATAAGAAAACATTTTAAACAATGAAATGTACTGAATTGGATTTTTAGCTTAGATCCTATAAGGCAAGATTTCAAAATACGCAACACCTGCTTAAAATTAGAGAGAAATTGCATACTCGCTACATTAGATTAAATTCCAAAGGTCACTTCTGAGGTCAAATTCAATTCAGAACAACTCCCGACTGATTCGCTTCGATTATATCAACAAATATACGATGATTTTGCAGGCAACAATTGACTGGTCGTTAGAAATTGACTTTAGAAGTGACCCTCTATGGAATGTTGTTAAATGTTAGTGTAGCAAGAATGTGGGCAGATCTAACATCTAATTTTAATTAGATTGCACCTGAATTAGACAGGCATCACTGTATTACTTTTAAAATTTTTTTTCTTTTTTGATAAATCAAAACGCAAAAAAGAAAATTAAACATGAAAGTTTAAATGGGTCTACCGGGGTATATACGAGGGTTGTCCCAAAAAGTCGTAGACAGGTTAAAAGTTTTGATGCTTTATCAGAGCAAAAATACATTTTGATCATGTACTTCAAGTTTCATGATGATATCACATCTAACATCGTAAATTACGTCTCTTATAACGTCATTATCTGCTTCACTAGCGGGTATTAACACATACGTGATAGACCACTCTTGATTAACGGACATATTTAAATTCATTACTGTCTGTTTGTTTTTTATTCACTTTGATTACATCAACAAATATACAACGATTTTGCAGTAGAGTCAAAACAAATTGTTTGATTGATCCAGATTTTTCCAATTCGTCTGCGTTTATCAAATACCGGTAGTACTCTACTTCTTACGTGCCGTAATTAACTATTTTCGGTACAGAAAAAAACTCTCATTGAATATCGTGCAATTTAAAAATAACTTCTTTATTAAAATCTGGTATTTAATGTCACTTCTGTACTCTTTTTCCCGTCTCTGATGTATATTAACCATATCCAACACAATTTATTACATTTTAATTACGCGATTTGACAACGTCATTTTCATCAAACTCAATTTCAACGATACTATGAAAATTGACACCATCGCGTGTTTCTAATGATATTTATATGAAATTTTGACATGATAAATTTTTATTCTGGTTTTTAATTACTAAAGAAATAAAAGCAAATGTAATAGCTATATGCATAAAAAATACAGGCCTTATCAGCCTTCATATAAATCGTCCTAATATTAAAAAGATATGTATTTAAAAAACAATTTTAAAGAACATCAAATATATTATGTCGCAAAAAGTTTAAAACGGGTTACGATATTATTGTAAAGGAGGTCCTCTAGATGCCAGTGCTTCAAGGTTCATTAATACTCTGATAAGAGAGACAACTCTTAATGACATAAATGTCTGTTCTTCCTTTATAGATTTGCCAAGTTGAAGTGTCTTTTTTGTCCAATTTTGCCCCGCAAGCAATGCTATAATTGTTTGTATTTGACTTATAAAATACATTTCTTTTGGAAAATCTGTATGCTGAAAAGGTACAAGTAGTAGATAACTAGTAAAAATAATTACATGTATTCTTTACTTTTAAAGAAAATCAAACCTTTTGATTTCTCCACTGAATGGCAGGTGCACCTCCCAGAAAAGCTACAATGGCAGCATTTCCTCTGGCTGATGTGGCATCATACACAATACAGAGTGGCCCCCTATCACATTCAGTTAATACACTGGGTCCTCCATTGGTTACAAATTCTCCTGATAAACCAGCTTTCCTCCAGAATGCCTGAATGATGTCAGATTTCAGATCATGTCATAAACTAGGGATCAACTTCATCAAAGTAACATATATACAAACAAAATGTTTATAATATTTGTGCAAAATCATTGTAAAAGAAATGAATCTAAGATATTTCATACCCTTATTTTTCATTCTATTTCATATTAACAGATATTTTAACTGAATAAGAACTAGTCCTGAAATTACACTTGCCTCTTTATAAGTGACAATGACTTTAATTAGATTTCCAGCAGGCATCCTTTTTACCAGTTCTCTTTTGCATGAAGGCAGCAAAGGGTCAAACTGAATTTTATCTAAAGGAGAAAAAAGATATGAGAAAAAAAATCTGATTGCTCAATAAAGTCATCCTAGAAAATTCTCTGTTTCCCCTTCTTCAACCAACTGACTAACCAGAAGTCACTGTCGAGACTGTAGCTCTAAGTGTTTGTAATTATAACAATGGAAGAAAAAAGTAGCAGTTGGACTTGAAACTTTGAAATAGCAATAAAGAGATAAATGATCTTTGATTAAGTCTCTTTTCGTAGAAAAATTGCAATCAGACTAAAACTGTAGGAGAAGTAGCTAGCTTTTCAAAACAATCTCACAAAATTTTTGATTTTTAGTAATCATGGCAAAACCATTCATCGAAATCAAAATTGATGAAAAGTATAATCACTTGAATCTTAAAGTAGTCTACTTGTGTGCCAAGTTCTACTGAAATCTAATCAAAACTTCAGAAGAAGTAACATTTTGAAAGTATTTCAAAGAAATGTTTATTTTTAGTAACCACAGAAACACCATTTAAAGAAATCAAAGCCGATCGATAAATAATTATGTATCATATTGCAGTCCTCTTCTATGCCAAGTTTAATTGAAATCATACCAAAACCTTTGGTAGGAGTAGCATTTTGAATGTATTTCACATAAATTTCTAATTTTAGTAACCATGGCAAAGCCCTTTGACCATTCTGTTCTTTACCAGATTTCCCCCTTGTAATACATATTGTGACCCCACCCTACCCCACTGATCATAATTTAGACAATTTGAAATCTACACTACCCCAGGATGCTTCCACACAAGTTTCAGCTTTTCCGGCTCAGTGGTTCTTGAGAAGATTTTCAAATTTTTATTCCTATATATTTCTATGTAAAACTTTTATTCGCCATTGTGGCCCCGCCCAACCCCTGGGGGTCATGATTTGAACAATTTAGAATCTTCACTACCCCAGGATGCTTCCACACAAGTTAAGGCTTTTCTGGCTCAGTGGGTCTTGAGAAGAAGATTTTTAAAGATTTTTCCTATATATTTCTATGTAAAAATTTGATTCCCCATTGTGGCCCCACCCTACCCCCGGGGTCATGATTTGAACAATTTAGAATCTACACTACCCCAGGATGCTTCCACACAAGTTTCAGCTTTTCTGGCCCAGTGGTTCATGAGAAGAAGATTTTCAAAGATTTTTCCTATATATTTCTATGTAAAACTTTTATTCGCCATTGTGGCCCCGCCCAACCCCCGGGGGTCATGATTTGAACAATTTAGAATCTTCACTACCCCAGGATGCTTCCACATAAGTTTCAGCTTTTCTGGTCCAGTGGTTCTTGAGAAGAAGATTTTTTAATGACCCCACCCTATTTTTGTCTTTTCTTGATTATCTCCCCTTGTGAGAGGACTTGGCCCTTCATTTTAACAATTTAAATTTCCCTTCATCTAAGGATGCTTTGTATTAAGTTTGGTCAAAATTGGCCCAGTGGTTCTTGAGAAGAAGTCGAAAATGTGAAAAGTTTACAGACGGATGGACGACGGACAAAATGTGATCAGAAAAGCTCACTTGAGCCTTTGGCTCAGGTGAGCTAAAAACTGATACAAGGGAATGGCACCTTTTTGCATAAAATCTATTTTTATCTGTTATGCATGTGCAGATCTAGAAAAGGAGTTGGAATGTTTATTTATTTTTTTTTGACAGCGGTGAACCCTCCCCCTAAATTCTGGATTCATGTCATTTATGTACATGAAGCATAAAATCATTGTACATCAGATCTTACTTATAGTCACACAAATAAATAATGAAAGTACATGTATAAGAGAATATTAGTTACACAGTCAATTAGGGATCTAATAAGGAGTCATACAGGGTGTGAAATGGAAATCCGTATTGGGCGACGTAATATGGAAAATTTCATGGCATCATGTGATTAGCTTTTATACAATCAGTAATCTTCAAATTTGTCTGAAGCGCTATAATAAGATTTATTTGTGAGACTTACTTGTCATGTTGGGTGGAATAGCCAGGATTAATCTGTCACAACTATAGACATCCCCCTTCTCTGTTGTCACGGTAACATCACCATTTTCCTGCTGCAAGATTTCAAAAAGATACCCAATCAATGAAAAGGTTAAAATCTTGTGGAGTCTCTATTTGAAAATACAAATTTTGAATTATTATAAAATGATGCGACATTTTTCAGTTCACCATTTAATTTTTTTTTATTCTTTGCTGAAAATTGATAAAATTAGCTGTTTTTCTTCAGAATGGAATGTTACTTGTGCAATATATTTCTATCTTGTTTTGATTTTTGAAACCTGTGTGATTTTTCTGACTGGTTGCTGCAGCTGAACACAAGATGGAGGAAGGGAAGCTGCTAACTTCTGACTGATCTGTTGGGCTCCTCCCTACAAAGTTACATAAGATTGCCCAGTTTCTGACATTGAAATGCATTGTCTTGCACTTAAAAAATTGTGGATAAAAATTACTTTGAAATGTTTTTTCTCAGAAATTTATCTTTTAACTGAATACTATACAATCATTTTCTTAAACCATAATATATAAATAGGACATTATTTGAAAAATAATGCATCAATCTAAGTTTAAAATCAGCTTACAATAATTCTATATTCCTGTGCTGTGTATTCTGTGGCCTCTATAAGATTTTTCAGACTGCCAGCACCACTCAGATAACTAATGTAGTACAAAACCGAAATCTGAGATGACTCTATGCCAAACATACAGCGACTGGCACTCTCTATGGTTTCTTTGGCACCTGTCGAAGAAAACAATATCAAGCTCTAGATGCAATTGGTTCCAAAGAAATTGGCCAGTCTATACGACATTTCGGATTAAATACTATAGTAACATTTTAATCAAATTAATTTGTTAAAAAAGACTTAAAGTTTTTCAACATATAAGGCAAGGTTTTGGAATATACAACATTAAGATTAGACAAGTTTCACTGTAGTTCTTTTCTATGATAGCTCCTGTTACAAAGCATTTTGTTATTCTATGTAAATGCAGTCATATGAATTATATTTCAAATGAATGATTTTTGTCACATTTTCAGGATACAAAGTAAGCTAGGGGAAATGTTGGTCAGATTGTGACTTGAACCTGTGACCTCCAGTTTACCTTGTGGGTGCTCCACCAACAGAGCTACCAGGCCAATATGCGTACCCAATACATAAAACACTCTTGCCCCCTTTTTCTTACAAATCACACATAGGACACAGTAACTATGTTCTTTAGATTCCCCCTTTGTAATACCTATCATGGCCCCGCCCTACCCTTGCGATCCGAATTCTACTCTACAACGTAGATTTCGGATCGGAAACCCTTGGCTAGCGAAGATGCCCTACCCCCAGGGGTCATGATTTGAACAATTTAGAATTTACACAACCCAAGGATGCTTCCACATAAGTTTTAGCTTTTCTATCCCAGTGGTTATTGAGAAGAAGATTCTTAAAGAATTTTCCTATATATTTCAATGTATCAGTAAAACTTGGATTACCTATTGTGGCCCCACTCTACCCCTGGGGTCATGATTTGAACAAATTAGAATTTACACTATCCCAGGATGCTTCCAGGATGTTTCAGCTTTTCTGGCCTAATGGTTTTTGAGAAGAGGATTTTTTAATGACCCCACCTTATTTTTGTCTTTTCTTATCTCCCTAAGTACGGGGAAATGGCCCTCCATTTTAACAATTTAAACTCCCCTTCACCCAAGGGTACTTTGGACCATGTTTGTTAAGAATTGGCCCTGTGGTTCTTGAGAAGAAGTTCATAATGGGGAAAGTTTACAGACGGACAACAGACAGTGGGTGATCAGGAAAGCTCACTTGAGATTTCACTTCAGATGAGCTAATAACAGATGTGGAAAAAATGTCAGCCAGTCTTGGGGTCAAACCAAGGAACTGTGTGGGATTCTTTCACAATGGGATAAGCTAATGGGTCAATGCACATAGTCCCTGTTATACATGTGCAATAAAATTTGAATGTTAGAAATAATGAAACATTTTTAAAACCTTTAGTCCACAATTGCTTGTTAAAAAATGTTTCCAAGGTCATGGCATCCCATTCAGCTCCATACTGACTCTGGTATGGATCCCCGATATCAACTTGCTTTCTCATCCATTCCAGCTGCCAGAGATTGAAATAATGTATGAAAAAGATCATTTTAAAAAAAATGTGATTAATGTTTTAAAAAATTCATGAGAATAGGGACAAAGACTCACACAGACATTATCTAGAAGCATGTTAATGCCTGATGAAAAACAGGCAGGGCTGAATTTATTTAAAGTGTTGATCATATTGATAAAATGAATGTTGGAAATTTCCCAGTAATCATTTGTGTGTTTGCCTGTTGCGTACATGCAACAGTATCAGTCTATTCTTTTTTTTAAATAAAAACTTCAAAATACAATTGAAAAAAATCATAAAATGTTGGTATCATTGGAATTAAGGTTTGATAGATTTTAAATTTGCTTTAATAGAATGAGAAGGGGAGGAGTGTCTCCAGAAATGGCCCCTGTTGAATTTCTAGAAAGCAGTTTATCCTTAAACCAACCTTGTACATAAATCTCTGTAGATCAATCAGTGCTAGTGGGGACAGCGAGGGGATATCTGAGCTATAGCTGCTAATTCTGTCACTTCCCAGCTGCATAAACTTCTTGCCCTCCAGATACTGGACATGTGTGGTTAGTCCCAGCTCCTCCAACAGGGCCATGATGTGGGGTTGACATCTACAAAAAACATTCACATGGTCAACCAAACTAGCTAAATTGGATGATTGAGTCAGATATAGGTATACATGTATGTGCTATTCTGGAGTGAAAAACAAAGGAAAATAATTTTAATCACTAAAATGTGTACAACCACTTAATGGTATTATGTCAAATGGTTCTGCTCTGCTTAATGTGACCTGATTTGAAAATGACTTCATTAATTGCCTTACTGAATAGCCATACCAAAGAAATGTTAGTTTACCCCACATTTAAGCTGTGTGAATGCAATCTAATTTGTGACAATCAAAATAAAAAGGAGCTAATTAAGTGAAGGTTTGATTTTAAAGAGACATGTTTTGTAAATAGCTGACATAATTGCCTTAGAGCACCTGACGGGAGAAATAAAAAGGGAGCCAGGGTCATGCAGCTGCATTTTTCTCCTCTTCCATTACATTTGGTGCCATGCCATGCCATGCCCTGAAATTGACACTCTCCATGTGAATTAGAGGGCATAAGCCTGAGTCAGTGCTTAATGAAAGGGACCAAAGAAATCAAAGCAATTATGGAGGGTACTACTGGAATTGTGGCGGTCAGCTGGGTTCGATCAATGAATTAACCCAAAATATGTTTATAAATATATTGGTAGAGCACCAAATATATAGATTCATGGGCCTGTTTCTGATATTGATCCTAAAAATCTGCATTTTTCTCTTCTCCCTTTACACTTGAAATCTATATTATTTACCTTCCAACCCACTGTCCTCCAAGGTCAAAATTATCTGTTCCATCTGCTGCTTTTAAAGGTAACGTTAATGTTCGTCCACCCACTCTGTCTACAAATAAAAGAGGAAAAGAGAAAATTAACTTTATGCATGAAAATGATGAAGCCAAAATTTGTTTTTCTTTGAATGATAAGATGTCTTTTCATGAAATTCATGGTTTGAAGCCAAACATGGTTTTACTGTTCTTGAATTAAGGACAGATTGACACAATTTTTATGTAAAATTTTGATAATCATATTGTCCCTGATTTACAAAGTTATCTGTTAAACAACTGGCAGGCTACATAAAAACAAACATTGCATACACAAAGTTACAGCAGTAACAACTTCTAATTTTAGCTGGATAAGTTACCTTTAGCTTCAAGCACAATGATTTGTAAAGATGAGTCCTTTTTATGCAGTTGATAGGCGGCAGTCAGTCCCGATATACCCCCACCCACCACCACAACATCTACTTTCATTTTCAAACACCTATTCATGCGGTGTCGAGTCAAATTATCCACAACAGAAATAGAGACGATTTACCCAATAACATCAAAAGGTCAAAAGGACATATTGAGAGAGGTACAAAAGGAACCCAATGTTATGTAAAAGGAAATCAAAAGGTTCGAATTAATATATTATAATACATTGAAAATTAATAATTTGAATTAAATTATGAATATTATATTATAAATTTACCTAAAAATTGGCAAAAACATACATTTATATTGTTGCAACTTTTTTAAAGAAATAACATACGACTTTTATAACACATCAATCATTAAATCTGGTCAGATATGCTTTGATTTCTTTTAGCTGAATTTAACAAAGTGCACTGTATTATTCTATTTCTCCTTCTGTTTTATTATATCTTATTATATGATATTTGATAAATAAAGAAATAAGTTTATTTATACATGTTTAGGCACATGGTATGCAATGGGTGGGGGTGGAAAATATACCATAATTAACCCAAGACGCACTTTACACTCAAAAAACTAGTTTTAGTTTTAATAAAATATGAAAGTATTCATTATATATCCATTTAATCTCTTTATTTAAACGTTCTTAATTTCCTTTTGGGTCCTTTTGGGTTCCTTTTGGGTCCTTTTGGGTTCCTTTTGGGTCCTTTTGGGTTCTTTTGGGTCCTTTTGGGTCCTTTTGGGTAAATCGACGCACCGGAAATAGAGTCGTCAATAACATCGTCATAAACATATTGAGAGAGGTACACTTTGCTGATGTTATGTGCAGTATGCATTTGCTATATTTTTAATAAAGTTTATTGTAAATTTATTCATCATCACCATGCAATTTACGTTTCGTATCTTAACTAAAATTTCGATGACACTTGTGCATCTTTTTAGGGGAGGAAATTAGGCTCCGATGGAATGGTTGTTCAAAATGAATGTAGATGTTGTGATTGTGGGCGGAGGTATAGGGCACCTGACTGCTGCGTATCAGGCTCCATAAAAAGGACTCATCTTTACAGATCGTTGTATTAGAGGCCAAAAGTAACTAACCCAGTTAAAGTTATAAATTGTCAATGTATGCAATGTAAGAAAATATACCCATATTAAGACAAGACATGTACAATGTATAAATGTATAATGGTCCCTCTGAGTCTGGTCACCCAAGGATACTTGTACCATTACCATATATGCACAAGTCACAGTATAAAAAACAGGGATTAGGCTCCATGATTAGGGAACACACAGTTTTGTATGTGTCATAATTTAATTGCTACTTTTGAGTGACTTATTTAATTTTAAAGGCTGCAACATTTTCCTGTTAGGGCATTAGTTTATATAGGGTCACAAAATATTGTGGATCCTGTGTTACAGATAAGAATTTAAATTATATCAAATATAAAACAAAATTCAACAAATCCTTGTAAAATTTTACGGTTATAATGAACTCTGATATAACGAATTTGATATAATTAATAATATCCAAGTTAAATATAATGAAATTTACATTTTTACGAACTTTCAAGATCCAAAATTTGATAGATTGTATATATCTGCATGGTGTATATATAATTCAATTCACAATCTCCTTAGTTATCGAAGGTATGTTTTGTATACATATTTGGTGGTAATACTTGAAGGAAAACCTCATATTGCGAATTCGTTTTATATGGACGTTATACGGTTATTGATTAGGGCACTATGCTAGGCAAGGGAATTAGGCTCCATAGATAGGGCACCTGCTAGGGCATTAGGCTCCATAGATAGAGCATCTGCTAGGGCATAAGGCTCCAATGATAGGTCACCTGTTATGGCATTAGGCTCCATAGATAGGGCACCTGCTAGGGCATAAGGCTCCATAGATAGGCCACCTGTTAGGGCATTAGGCTCCATGATTAGGGCACCTGCTAGGGCATTAGGCTCCATAGATAGGGCACCTGTTAGGGTAATTATTAACTCCATAGATAGGGCACCTGTTAGGGCATTAGGCTCCATAGATAGGGCATAGGCACAGGCTCCTGTTAGGGCATTAGGCTGTTAGGCTCCATAGATAGGGCACCTGCTAGAGCATTAGGCTCCATAGATAGGGCACCTGTTAGGGCTTTAGGCTCCATACATAGGGCACCTGTAAGGGCATGAGGTTGCATAGATAGGGCACCTGCCAGAGCATTAGGCTCCATGGATAAGGCACCTTTTAGGGCATTTGGCTCCATGAATAGGGCACCTGTTAGGGCAGTAGGCTCCATAGATAGGGCACCTGTTAGGGTATCAGGCTTCATAGATAGGGCACCTGTTAGGGCATCAGGCTAAGGGCATAGATAGGGCACCTGTTAGGGTATTAGGCTCCATGATTAGGGCACCTGTTAGGGCATGAGGCTCCATGATTAGGGCACCTGCTAGGGCATTAGGCTCCATAGATAGGGCACCTGTTAGGGTATTAGGCTCCATGATTTGGGCACCTGTTCGATAGGGCACCTGTTATGGCATTAGGCTCCATAGATAGGGCACCTGCTAGGGTAATTAGGCTCCATACATAGGGCACCTGCAAGGGCATTAGGCTCCATAGATAAGGCACTTGTTAGGGCATTAGGCTCCATAGATAGGGCACCTGCTAGGACATTAGGCTCCATAGATAGGGCACCTGTTAGGGCATTAGGCTCCATTGATAGGGCACATGTAAGGGCATTAGGCTCCATAGATAGGGCACCTGCTAGGGCATTAGGCTCCATAGATAGGGCACCTGTGAGGGCATTACGCTCCATGATTAGGGCACCTGTTAGGGTATTATGCTCCATGATTCAGGCATTAAGCTCCATAGATAGGGTACCTGTTAGGGCATTAGGCTCCATAGATAGGGCACTCGCTAGGACATTAGGCTCCATGATTAGGGCACTCGCTAGAGTGTTAAGCTCCATAGATAGGGTACCTGCTAGAGCATTAGGCTCCATAGATAGGGCACCTGTTAGGGCATTAGGCTCCATAGATAGGGCACCTGTTAGGGCATTAGGCTCCATGATTAGGGCACCTGTTAGGGCATTAGGCTCCATAGATAGGGCACCTGTTAGGGCATTAGGCTCCATGAATAGGGCACCTGTTAGGGCATTAGGCTCCATAGATAGGGCACCTCCATAGGCTCCATGAATAGGGCACCTGCTAGGGCATTAGGCTCCATAGATTAGGGTACATGCTAGAGTGTTAATCTCCATAGCTAGGGTACTGTTAGGGCATTAGGCTGCATAGTTAGGGCACATTAGGCTCCATAGATAGGGCACCTGTTAGGGCATTAGGCTCCATAGATAGGGCACCTGTTAGGGCATTAGGCTCCATAGATAGGGCACCTGCTAGAGCATTAGGCTCAATAGATAGGGCACCTGTTAGGGCATTAGGCTCCATAGATAGGGCACCTGTTAGGGCATTAGGCTCCATAGATAGGGCACCTGTAGGGAATTAGGCTCCATAGATAGGGCACCTGCTAGGGCATGAGGCTCCATGATTAGGGCACCTGTTAGGGCATTACACTCCAAGATTAGGGCACCTCGAAGGGTATTAGGCTCCATGAATAGGGCATTAGGCTCCATGAATAGGGCACCTGTTAGGGCATAAGGCTCCATGATTAGGGCACCTGTTAGGATATTAGGCTCCATGAATAGGGCACCTGTTAGGGCATAAGGCTCCATAGATAGGGCACCTGTTAGGGCATTAGGCTCAATGATTAGGGCACTTGTTAGGGCATTAGGCTCAATGAATAGGGCACCTGTTAGGGTATTAGGCTCCAAGTATTAGGGCCGCCACACCATTGTTAGGTGTCGACACCTAATACATTTAGAACATATGTAAGGCACCATAATTAAGAACTAATTAGGGCACTAATTGTCATGGTTAGGGCCTTTCATATGAACCAAAATTCCATCCCTGTTCTATTTATAACAATATCGTATTTATAATTATAAAAACAAAAACATTACAGTTTATTTAACTGAATTAGATTTATACTAGATTTTTGGATACGGGGTTCTTTAAAAAACATAAGAGAATTTAATATTTACATAGACTTATACATGTATCTCTTTTTTTTTGCCTGTGGTGACTATGTGTATTTCCAGGTTTATATTATTATACATGTGTAGCTTTAGATTCTCAATTCCCTCACAACACTGTATCCGTCAGACTTTTCTTTGCTATAGCTCCCAAATATTTATAACCACGGTTCTTCTTTTCCATCAATTTAAAAGTAATCTTCTTCCACCTTCAAATGAAAACAAATTGTGCAGTTCCCCATGAAATAAGTTTTTACCCCTCTATCTTTTAGACAGAGTTGGTGGACGAACATTAACATTACCATTAAAAGCTGCAGATGGAACAGATAACTTTGACCTTGGAGGACAGTGGGTTGGAAGGTAAATATGAGATTTAAACATGCATTAATCTATTTTGTTAAGAATTCTTAAGCATTAGGAAATTCCAAAAAGTTCTAAGATCAATCCTTTATACTTGTCTCTACAGACCAATTAAATCACTTGTTTTGATTGTTGTCAGATATGGCAGAAAATTTAAAAATGCGTTTTGTAGATGACTGTAAAGGATTGAGAGGTGGATTAAATACTCATGTTGGTTTAACAATTTGCATAAAATTAGGGAGTGAGCATATCTGCACATATCATTAGAAACATTTTTTAAATTGTTAGATTTCATTATTTTTGTTTATTTTTTAGGTGCCAGCCCCACATCATGGCCCTGTTGGAGGAGCTGGGACTCTCCACACATGTACAGTATCTGGAGGGCAAGAAGTTTATGCAGCTGGGAAGTGACAGAATTAGCAGCTATAGCTCAGATATCCCCTCGCTGTCCCCACTAGCACTGATTGATCTACAGAAGTTAATGTTCAAGGTTTGTGGCTTTTATGCAAGGAATAGAAAGTGTACATAGATAATGTAAAAGTTTATATTTATTTGTGTCATTCATTTAATCATCAGATATATAAATCTTGAGTGAGGGGAATTTCTTCTATAATATCGGTATATGAGTCAACAATTTATGGTATATTTTGACACTGGGACTTTTAAGGTGAGCACATGAGTGTTGTATATTGATTTCTGAATTAAAAAATCCAATAGAAGGGAAACAAGAGTCAATGTGCAAATGTCAGCTTTATTTTATTTTTTTTTTTATTTCCAAGCAATATGTTTTCAGAAAAATTAGAACTTGATGACTATCTGTAATAATGAGAAAGGAAAATGGTGCAATTTAGAATTACTCAAAATTTTTAATTGTAGCTGGAGTGGATGAGAAAGCAAGTTGATATCCGGGATCCATACCAGAGTCCGTATGGAGCTGAGTGGGATGCCATGACCTTGGACACATTTGTCAATAACCAACTTTGGACTGAAGGTTTTTTTTTTTTTAAATGTTTGAAGGTTTACAGTACCTTTAATCTTTTACATTTTCAGTACATCACTAAAATTGGGGGGGGAAAAAAAAATCTTCTAAGTAAAAATTTTATATGTGTGTGTAAATATATATTGGTAATTGAAATTCTTTTTTGTCTGTCAGTACCTGTATGTCAGTACGCCCCTGTATATTACGGTACATATACATGTAGTATATCACAGAACATTGAGGGGCACATACCAGAATATTTGCCCGGCAGTGACAAGAAAGTGTGTAGAGTTATGCCACCTGATGCCGAAGGCTATCATATATAGAATAAATAATAAAAATTTCTTAAGGACATATGAAACGCACCTTAGCTACTGATAATTTTTCAAGATAGTTTTAACTTAAGATTAAAGTGTCATCAGATGTTCATGAGCAAAGAATCAGCATGCATTACCAGGAGTTTTGAAAAGATGTCAATTAATGGAAATTCTTGTAAAATTCAAATAAAAATGCAAAAAAAATTAAACATATACCGTATAAGTAAAAATTTTAGCAAGGATTTAATTTTGGCATTAAAAATTGCTAAAGAAAAAAAATGGTTTTTTATCGCAATAATTACAACATATATTTTAAGAACAAATCACCTAATTTGTGTCTAGCTAAAATTTTCACTTATACAGTATTTTAGATGTTCTGTTTATCCAAACTTGTTTTAGAAAAAGTGTACAACAGCATATATGGACATTTAAAATGAAGCATTTAGTCCCTTTATGTATTGGAACTCTTCAACACCAGAGAAAAACACAACAAAGTTCAAACTACATTGCATATGTCCTTAACAACTTTGATACTAATTTTCTCGTGGTATGAAGAGACCCACGAATTCATGTCCACCACGAAAGAAATTTTCATACACAACTACAAAGTTCAAATCAAATACATTGCATTTTGTCCTTCAACCACAACCGAAAATATGTGATTTTACAGTATATCATTTAAATAATTATTTTTTCTTCACCAGGTGCCAGAGATGCTATAGAGACTGCCTGTCGTTGTGTACTCGGTGTGGAGTTATCACAGATTTCTGTACTGTACTTTATAAGTTACATGAGTGCTGCTGGCGGTCTTAAGAATCTGATAGAGGCTACTGAATACACAGCTCAGGAATACAAAATTGTGGTTAGTAGTTTACCTCTATACATGTATACTGTTAATCAATAATTCATTAAAGTAAATCTCATTACTTGCACAATATAAAATTGTCCAGAAATCAAGGAATTTGTAAATTTATTTTGAAGGGAGGAGCCCAGCAGATCAGTCAGAAGTTAGCAGCTTCCCTCCCTCCATCTTGTGTTCAGATGCAGCAACCTGTCAGCAAAATCACACAGGTATAAAGAACTTTACAGAAAATCAGAAAGACTGAATGTCTTTCTTATCAAATAATATAAACAAAAAGATTTATTTACAGGTATGTGCAAGAAATATAATGACTTTTAAACCCCCTCTGCAAGCAATAAGGAATTTGTTGAAAGGTAGCAAGTTATCATTAATTTGACTATGTAAATCACTTTTTAAGAAATATCAGTGACTTTTAGACAGTGTGCTCACGAAAATTAAATTCTCGCGTATAATAGTATTCCTTAAGATTATATAAAGCAATAACCACAATTCGTGAAAATTTTGTCTCACTAATCAAGTGTCAATGACTATCTCGCGAAAATAAGGTGTCGCGAAAATTAAGTGATCTACAGTAGTATTTTGAATTTGGCCTTACAGAGGGACAATGGTGTGACTGTGACAACAGAGAAGGGGGATATCTACAGTTGTGACAGAATAGTCCTGGCTATCCCACCCAACATGACAAGTAAGTCACTGTATACAATGATTTTTGAAGAAATGTTGATTAATGTACTTAATGTATAATATTTACTGGTACATGTACATGTAATATGAATTTATTTATGATTTGTAATTTGGTTGTTGGTTTTTTTTTCTAGACAGGATACAGTTTGATCTCTATTTATGATTTGTAATTTGGTTTTGTCTTTTTCTAGACAAAATACAGTTTGATCCCATCTTACCTTCCAGCAGACGAGAACTGACAAAGAGAATGCCTGCTGCAGATCTGACAAAAATCATCGTCACTTACAAAGAAGTACAGTTATTATGCCCCTCCCCCTTTGAAGAAGGCAAGGCATATTGTTTTGCTGCTGTCTGTCAGTTGGTCTGTCTATCTATCAATCCACCAACAGTTTCCATTTATTTCTTTGTAGAGGTTGCACTTACTAAAATGAAATGTGTGATACAGATTTATCGTATGACTAGAATATCTTGATGAGGTTTTGCTTTGGGTAGGATTGAGCAATTTTTGACAGAGTTATGCCCCATGGACTTAGAAAATTGCCAATTTTTTGCTCTCATTGTGCACCCTATAATGTAGGTCCAAGGGGGTGGGGCATAAGTGTTATACAAACATCCCTTGTTTGATCATTTTTTTTTTCATTTCAAGGCTACTAAAATTGGTGTCTCTTATTAGGATGGATGTATACATGTTATTTTAAATTGCAAATTAAGTCAATTTTTATGTGAATGGAATATTGACTAAAGCTGATGTTGCAGGCATTCTGGAGAAAAGCTGGTTTATCAGGAGAATTTGTAACCAATGGTGGACCTAGTTTGTCAACTGAGTGTGATAGGGGGCCACTCTGTATTGTGTATGATGCCACGTCAGTCAGAGGAAATGCTGCCATTGTAGCTTTTCTGGGAGGAGCACCTGCCATTCAGTGGAGAAATCAAAAGGTATAAAGGGGTTCAAAATACTTAATTATTCAGGATAATACTGTAGATCACTAAATTTCCAGGACACTTCATTTCCCGAGATGGTCATTCACTCTTTTTTAGCGAGACAAAATTCAAACAAACTGTGGTTACTCCTCTGTATAATCTTCAGGAAAATTTACATGTATATACTGGTACTATCAATTATTTTATATGGAAAATTATCGCTAGCTCACTAAATCATGTAATTACTAGAAAATAAAATTTTTTATAAAATGTATTACATCACAAAAATTATTTATCACAAAACATCACTATTCTATCTACCTACATTTGTACCTTGCTGTTAGCAACAACACATACAATTTTTCTTGATTTAACGATGATTATTAATTGTGACGTAACAGACAAGTGACGTTGCGGTCTAACAATTCTTATGTAAGACCGGTCAATTGAAATTGTTAATCCGACATAATAAACATTTCTTTTGTTGGACTTTTTATTAGTAATAAATATATGGATATGCATTTAACAATAATTAGTATGCTTAGAGGAGAAATTTCACAGATTCTCTGACTGCGTACATAGCGTAATTAAATACCACTCGGAAAATTTTACTTGATTTAAAATAACTGCTTTTGTAGGAAGAAGACAGGAAATCCGCAGTGTTAAAATCCCTGTCAGATTTCCTAGGACCTGAGGCTCTAAATTATCTAGACTACGCAGAAAAGGACTGGGGTGTTGAGCCCTACAATGAGGGTAGCCCAGTGTGTGTTGTAGGACCTGGGGCCATGGCTTACTTTGCCAAGGGTCTGAGACTGCCATTTAATAGGTAGGGAATGTTTGTTGTGAAAGTTATAATTGGTATTCACAAAGGTTTAGATATAGTTAATTCTTATGAATGTTGAAATCAGAAAAATTTGCAAAATTTATGTTTTCCTCTGCACAAAAAACCCTTTCACTGGTATGATGTGTAATTACTAGTAGTGTTTCCTTATTGTTACAACAAAGTAGTCAAAAGTAGATGAAATTATAAACAGAAATCTTGAAATTGAAAAACACAAATGTGCATTTCGCCTTGAAGACATGAATTATATTTTTAAGTCAACTGAGTTTACTACGAAAGACGAATAGGGCCACATGAAAATTTTTATCTCGTAATTACGAGATCTTTTCTCGTAATTACGAGATAATTATCTCGTTATTACGAGAAAAGATCTTTTCTCATAATTACGAGATAATTATCTCGTTATTACGAGAAAAGATCTCGTAATTACGAGAAAAGATCTTGTTATTACGAGATAATTATCTCGTTATTACGAGAAAAGATCTCGTAATTACGAGAAAAGATCTCGTAATTACGAGAAAAGATCTCGTTATTATGAGTTAAAGACGAATAGGGCCACATAAAAAAATATTTTTATCTCGTAATTACGAGAAAAGATCTCGTAATAACGAGAAAAGATCTCGTTATTACGAGTTAATTATCTCGTTATTACGAGAAAAGATCTCGTAATAACGAAAAAAGGTCTCGTTATAACGAGTTAATTATCTCGTTATAACGAGTTAATTATCTCGTAATTACGAGAAAGGATCTCATTATTCCGAGTTAATCATCTCGTTATTACGAGAAAAGATCTCGTAATAACGAGAAAAGATCTCGTTATTACGAGTTAATTTTCTCGTTATAACGAGAAAAGATCTCGTAATTACGAGTTAATTATTTCTTTTACTAATTTTATGAATTCCGTAGGTTCATCCATTTTACATTAAGAGAGAGTAGAACAATGAAACGTACCATTTTTTATAGATCTTTTCTCGTAATAAAGAGATCTTTTCTCGTAATAACGAGATAATTAACTCGTAACAACGAGATCTTTTCTCGTTATAACGATATAATTAACTCGTAATAACGAGATCTTTTCTCGTAATTATGAGATCTTTTCTCGTTATAATGAGATAATTAACTCGTAATTACGAGATAATTAACTCATAATAACGAGATCTTTTCTCGTTATTACGAGATCTTTTCTCGTAATTACGAGATAATTAACTCATAATAACGAGATTTTTTCTCGTAATTACGATATAAAAATATTTTGTTATGTGGCCCTATTCGTCTTTCGTAGTTTACTCAGGTGACCTATTGCTATCAGTTTTTGTCCGTCGTCGTACGTCGTTCGCCGCACGTCGTTCGTAATATTTTGAACATTTTTAACTTCTTCTCTGGAACCAATTTCAACCAAATTTGGTATACAGAATCTATGGGTGAAAGGAAACAAAAATTGTGAATTTCATGGTCCCTGCCCTCCTGGGGCCTGAGGGGTGCGGCCAAAACCACTAAAATTAATGAAATCTTTAAAAATCTTCTTTTTTACTCCTGGACATCAAGCAGTCAAACTGTTGACATGATTGTAATCAGCATTGAGTCCTATACCAAAATTGTGAATTTCATGGCCCCTGGGTCAGGGGTTCTGGTGTTAGGACAGGGCTATTTAGATCATATAGTAAAAGTGCATTATTTCTTTGAAAATCTTCTTCTCTGTTCCTGGATATTAAATAAACTAACTAAGGACCAAGAGTGCCTCTTCAAAAATTGTGAATTTCATGGCCCCTGGGTCAGGGGTTCTGGTGTTAGGGTGGGGCTCTATTGAAACATTAATTTTTTGAAAATCTTCTTCTTTGCTCCTCGGTATTAAACAAGCTAACTAAGTACATAATTATGATTAACTAGAGTGCATCCTCCAAATTTGTGAATTTTATGACCCCAGGGTCAGGGGTTCTGGTGTTGGGGCGGTGCTCTATTGATTATGTAGTGAAAATGCAGTAATTCTTCAAAAATCTTCTTCTCTGCTCCTGGGGATTAAACCAATAAACTATGTACATAGTTATGAGGAAAGATGCCTCTTCCAAATTTGTGAATTTCATGGCCCCTGGTCAGGGGTTTTGATGTAAGGAGGGAACACTTTTTATTATATAATGAAAATGCATGAGTTCTTTCAAAATCTTTTTTGCTCCTGGGTATTAAACAAACTAAGTAAGTATATAGTTATGATGAGCAAGAGTGTTTCTTCCAAAATTGTGAATTTTGTGGCCCCTGGGTTGTTGGTTGTGATGTTAGGGTGAGGCTAATTATTGATTATATAGTGAAAATACATTGTTTCTTCAAAAATCTTCTTCTCTGCTCTTAGGTATAAAACCAATAAACCATGTACATATGCATAGTTATGTTGAGGAAGGATGCCTCTTCCAAAACTGAATTTCATGGCCTCTGGGTCAGGGGATCTGGTGTTAGGGTGGGGCTCTAATGATTATATATAGTGAAAATGCATGAATTCTTTGAAAATCTTTTCCAATGCTCCGAGGTATTATTCTAATGATCTTAGTACATGAAGAAAGGTGCATCAAGCAAAATGATTAAGTTTATGTTCTCTGGGTCAGGGGTATAGGGAGGGGGGTTGAACAGTACATAGTCTGAAGATAAATAAATGTTTTGAAATCTGCTCTGTGGTATTAATCAATGATTTATGATGAAATAAAATTTATGATAAAATTTCCAAAATTTTGAAATATGTGGCCCCAGGGTCAGTGGTTCCTGTGGGTAGGAGTGCATGACTGGTTATAAAGTGAAAATGCATTTTCTCTTTCTTACTCTGATCTAACTCTGGGTATTAGTAACTAGAGTAAGCATTCTAATGTATAATTATGATAAGCAATGGTGCCTCTTTCAAAATTGTGAATTTTGTGGCATCTGATTTAAAACATGAACCAAATTCAATTTTTGGAAAGTTGTTTCATGATACTCAGGTGACCTATAAGGCCCATGGGCCTCTTGTTGTACTTAAGGGTTGGTGATTTACTCAGGTTCACAAAGTAAATGTTTGATTATTTCAGGATTCATTTTGCTGGGACAGAATCAGCGACATCTTGGTGTGGATACATGAGTGGTGCTGTCCAATCAGGGCTCAGAGCTACCCATGAGGTCCTCTTTCACCTTCGACCTCAGGCTGTGTCTGTCCAGGAGCTTGCCAACACAGCTTATGGACCCTCTAGTTTCTTGCCACAACAAACAAAACCAAGGAGAAGCAAAGGAAGGACAATTTTCAAGGTCACTCTTGGATTTGGAGCTGTGGTTGCCATGGTGATTCTAGGAAAAAAACTGTTTTTAATGAAAAGTATATAAATTGTATCAGGGGACAATTGCAAATTTACATTAACATCACTATTAGTGTATGCATTGTATATTTATCTCGTAAACTAAGCAGTGACTTTAATACATGTATTATGTCCCAAAATCTTGCAAAATTTAGTGTGTTTTTAAGTCATCCCACTCCTTTACTCTCAGGTAAACAGGGTCAGTTTCAAGAGTCATTATTTTTTTGAAACTGTGTCCTATTCTTTGTTTATGTTTTAATCATGTTAAACTGTGTTCTGAATAGCAATTAACCAATCTTTCAGGAAGTGTGTTGTTTTATGTGTTTAAAAAAACAATATGAATGAAATGTATCTTGATTGTGCCAAAATTTTGTCCATTATAGAAGACAGGAAAACATTCCAGCTTTAATTCTTCCAATCAATCAGGTTGACATAATCTAGGATATATGCACAAACTGTTAATTGTTATGTCAATTTCCCCCCCTCCCCCCACCACCTTTTGTATTAGGTCTTTATTTTAGCATTTGTTTGATTGTGCCATATAGAAATAAATGTGAAAAGCACTTTTTGTATTTTAATGAAAAAATATGTCTTTGAAACAAAATTAAATGCTATAATGATTTACTCATATTGCTTTATTTTCAATTGGAATGATTGCTTTACATTATCTGACAGAGTCTCTCAGCTAGAATGGACTGCTGAATTCTAACTTTGTCTCATTCCACATCAAAACCAGAAGTCTCTGTCGAAACTGAAGCTCTACTGGTTTGTACTTATAGCAAAGGAAGAGAAAGTACTTAAGCAGTTGGGAATTGAAACTTTACAACAGCAATAAATAGAATAATGATCCTTGATAAAGTCTCTTTATGTTCTTAGTGTAGTCTACTTGTGTGCCAAGTTACAGTGTATATTGAAATCAGACCAAAACTGTAGGAGGAGTAGCATTTTGAAACAATTTTATAGACATTTTTATTTTTAGTAACCACGGCAACACCATTCATGGAAATCAAAAACCGATACACACAATTATGGATCTTAGTGTAGTCTACTTGTGTGCCAAGTTATATTGAAATCAGACCAAAACTGTAGGAGGAGTAGCATTTTGAAACAATTTTACAAAAATTTCTATTTTAGTAACCACAACAACACCGTTCACGGAAATCAAAAACTAGTAAACCTATTTATGTATCTTAGTGCAGTCTACTTGTGTGCCAAGTTATATTGAAATCAGACCAAAACTGTAGGAGGAGTAGCATTTTGAAACCATTTTAATGAAATTTCTATTTTTAGTAACCACGACAACACCGTTCATGGAAATCAAAAACCAATAAACAGAATTATGTATCTTAGTGTAGTCTACTTGTTTGCCAAGTTATATTGAAATCAGACCAAAACTGTAGGAGGAGTAGCATTTTGAAAGAAATTTCACAGAAATTTCTATTTTTAGTTACCATGGCAACACCGTTTATCGAAATAAAAAACCGATATACAGAATTATGTATCTTAGTGTAGTCTACTTGTGTGCCAAGTTATACTGAAATCAGACTAAAACTGTAGGAGGAGTAGCATTTTGAAAGAATTTCACAGACATTTCTATTTTTAGTAACCACGGCAACACCGTTTATCGAAATCAAAAACCGATATACACAATTATGGATCTTAGTGTAGTCTACTTGTGTGCCAAGTTATATTGAAATCAGACCAAAACTGTAGGAGGAGTAGCATTTTGAAAAATTGTTTACAGACAGACGGACAGCTAGACAGACGGACGGACGCGGGACGCATTACTATCGCATAAGCTCTTCTGGTCTCTGACCAGTAGAGCTAAAAATCAAAGATTTTAAGAACAAGGTACATGTACAGATTCAATACAAATCTGCATGGTCCTGTATTTTTCTAAAATATGGAATGATGTAAAAAATTATAATTCACCCTTTTTAAATCATTATGGACCTTAATTGTTTCTTCAAATCAACATCTAAACCTCAATTTATTGTTATTTATTGCAATATGTGGGGAAATACAATCTCAATAACAAGACTACAGTAAAACAAAAATACATTTGTATTATAAAGTGCCAGGGAAGGAAGAATTTGCTTAGTTATTAATGTAAATATCCGTAAAATTCAAAATATATTTTAGAGACATGGACAATGAATATCACTTCACTGTTAGTACAACAAATACATGATAATCAAGTTAGTTTTAAGAATGTACTGTATATCTTCTTAAATTGAAACAACCCTCATTTACTTAAAAGTTTTAAAGCCATGAAGTTGAATATGATTATCACAATGAGGGATTTCATGTATGGTCATGTTCATCAGTCAGGAAAAGACCGTTATTCAACGTCCCTCTCGAGAATTTTCACTGAAATGAAGATGCTACCACTTGCCAGTGGAGAGCTACAAATTTTGTCCTTGTGCCCATTAAGCAGCGAGGGATCTTGATCATGCCACCACCCACTGCAACATGAGGCCATGGCTTATATGGTCTCATCCGAATGACTGGTCTCCACGTCCCACAGGGGACTCGAACTCTCGACATAAGGATCAACTCCTTACTTCACGATTCTAGAGCAGACACTCTAACCACTGCACCATTTGGGATACAGCAAGGAAAATGAAACTGCATGGACATAGGTACTATATTTATATAGTATCTATATTTTGTTTATATTTTTTTAAAAAATTTTTTAATATTTTTTACAAAAGCCAACAAACTCAGATTACTGGAGGAACATTTATTGACAATACACTGTAAAATCTGCAAACTTTACATGATTAATGGAACAGATAGCATGTACAAAAGCTCATATAAAAGCAGCTACATATTAGATAAGACCAATATTATTCATACAACACTGAACACATTCATAGTAATGCACATCTTTACAAATATACAAATTGTGCAAAGGCCAGACACACGAGGTCAGGATATCTCTGTGTTAAAAGTTTGATACATGTATTTTGTTCCTCAGGCTTTTATCTTTTGACTAGTTGTGCAGATGTGAGGAAGAAAATCATTATGCTGTCAAATTTTTAGATCAGGGAAATTTTGTCTATTAAGCACAAAAAGCCTTAAACTTATTTAATATTCAGCATTATATAAATAAGTCATCAGTTTCATTTATTTCATGAATACAAATCTTGTATGAGAAAATTAGTAAACAATTACAGCAACAAATAGACACACGTGCAGTATATGCAAGCAATGTATCCTTTTAACTTTAATGGTGCATATTTTTTAAAGCCCATTATCAAAATGAATTCATTCAAAATAATAGCAGATATAATACTGTACATACAGGTTTGTTTTTGCATACATTTCTTTTCAGTATTTCACTATTTCTTGAAAATTCCATAATCCATCACATTTATGTGATATATTAATTGTTCTATTCTTCCATAAAACATTTAGCTGGTTTTCTGTCAGCACCTCTTTTAACTGGTGATCATGGCTCTTTTAAAAAAGAAAAAAACATACAAAGGCACACGGTAGGTTACAAATTGCAACAGATGTATTACACTGCTATACCGTAAATTACTGTAACAACAACTACTATTGATTATATCTACTGAATCCCTGAAGAATCATATATATTTACACTTATTAGTACAAATACATTTTACAAAGCATAATGCATAATTAAGTCAAAAAAAAATTGCATATTTGACAAATTATACGGTAGCACTTTACTTTCCTTGCAGTACATGAAATGCATTTAAATCTCAATCGCCGACAATTACGTTAACAGCATTTTCAATGCTTTACAAGCATCTTTCATATTAATTCCTTGAAAAAAAAAAGACAAACAATTGAAATCATAAAATTTGGAAAGACACAAACACAATTTTAAACAACAAATTCTTAATTTCTTGTTTCACATAAATTTTTGATACAGAGTTCAATTTTTGAAACCTGTGACACATTGCCTGAAACTTGTAAAAAGAATTTTTTCCAGCTGTCATAATAAAAAAAGTACTGTTCTTAATTAAGAGTCTCTTAAGACAGATCCAAAAAAAGCTAATTGAAAATCATTCAATGTAAACAAAAATGTTTCAACTAGAACATAGAGAAAATGGCATACAAACATCAACATAGTCTAACTGGTGCAATCTCTCCAGTACAAATCAAGCAAATGGTATTTGTCTGATTATACAAATATTTAAGGTAACTTTTACAAGACTGAACAAACAAAAACAAAATGATACAGGTCCCATGGTGAGTACAAAACTATTATGACTAAAGAGACTAACAAAAAAACCCAATAATAACAGACACGGCATCTAATACCGCCATTAACAACATAAAATAATAAATAACACTAAAGAATAAATTGATTGTATATCATGATTCAGGGGTTTCTATATACATGATGTTCATTATATGTTGGCAAGATTCAATTTATAATGCGTTTGGATAATAAAATATTTCTCCAAATTGATCAAATTTTTTTTTGTACGTTTATTCAGACTTCAAACTCTCTGAAAGGTATAATTAGTTTGTGCCTTTAGATTAAAGAATAAAAATATTTGACACTTTGATTATTCATTATGAGTATTGAAATACTGTAAAATGACTGGATTTCATGTCAGATAAACATCAGCAGATGCAATAACATATCTTGGGCTCTGTGAACAGAATTTTTATAAATACATGTATACAAAATAAAGCAAATGCAAGATTTTTAAATAAGAACAATAAGATATTGTTGGCATTGAAAAATAATACATGTATATGTATATATGGTACACTGTACTTTACTCAAGATTTAAGGTTCACTGACCCTCTGATAAGAGAAATAACTCTTTAAAAAATAAATAACTATTATTCCTTTTAAAAATTGTATACTGGTAGTGAAAAGGTGATTCTAAGAAAATAGATGTTGAAATTGTGTACATTTTATCTATAGATTTTTTGGGAAATCAATAGTAACAAAGCAAAATATTAAATACTAGTACAGAGGAACTATGAACCTTAAGAAGCAAGAACACAGCCTGCAATTCTAATGGCACAATTTTAGATTAAAGAACACTGACAGGTTATATTAAGAAGGAAAAAGTTGATGCTATTATTGCTGTCAATTGGAAGCTGGTATCTAACTGGCTTTCATTTTCTTGGGCCCCTTTCCAACAAAGGACTTGATGACATTCAGCAGTCTAGCCAGGTATTTCTGGAGAACAGCATGCTGTCTTATTCCTGGGATCAGCAAAACCAAGTTCACTGAAAAAATCAAATTTGAAAAATTAGAAAAAAACACGTTAAAGAGAGAGCTAGGTTTTCATGGGTTTACACTCCAAGATGCTAAGAGGGTGGGAAAATTATTCCAATTTTCAAGCAATTTTGAATTAGTCAATGAAAAAGTGTACTTTCCTTTGCTGTTTTTTCCCCCTAGCCCTTACATCTTAGAAATGCAACTTCAAACGAACATTGGATTTCTGTTGCATATTGTTACCCAGGAAATAAGTTGTTCTTACCCAGGAAATAAGTCATACACAGGTTGTCCATCCGACTGCCTAGCCAAGCCAAAGCTACCAGGGTCCCCATGACGATCAGAAAGTACTGCAGGAAAAAAAGAAATGTCAACCACAATCTCACTGAATTTCTATAAATACCAGCAATGTTACACATTGTTTGTATATGTACATTATTGTACAGTAAAACTCGGTTATAACAAAGTCACTTGGACCTTTGAAATTACTTCGCTACCGGATTATATCCATAGTTCGTAATATTCGTATAAGGATTCATTAAATTGATAAACCTGTGAATCCAAGATAACTACGATATATCTGTGAATTCGCAATATTTGTGTTCATACAAGTTTTACTGTATATTGCAGCTTGCGTGTGCTCAGATTTATTAAAAAATCTTTTGCATTCAAATTTTCATCTTAGGCTAAGACATTAAATCATTTTATTATCTCAAGTTTTTCTTTCTTGAGATTCAATCGTTTAAATTTAAGTGTATGTTTAAACAGCTGTTCAATAGTATGTAATAAAGTATATAATAAAGATTATTAAGAGACTAGGACATGGTGAAAATATATGTAAAATTTCTCTTGCATATTCATTCCAAGACTAGGTTTACACATATCCGGTATTTATTAAAACAATCAAATACTGATACAAAATGCTTACAATCTTTGGTTTTTCAGATTTGAGTGAGCTCATGGTGGTCCTGGCATTATGGAAATGAGTCTTAGCATTCAGGATTCTACAGCAGATGTCAGTGTACTGGGCCTCTTGTTTACCAGTCCTTCAAGTCAAATACAGAAAAATCTGTGTTTTAAATTTATTGTGTATGTATGTACACTCAGTCTAAATACATGTAGCAGTCAGTCGAGTTTGATCACTGTTAGCCAGATAGCTCAATCGGTAGAGCACCTGACTGGAGATTCAGGGGGCCTGGGTTCGAATCCCAGTCTGGTCCGCTGCATTTTTCTCCTCTCCCATAACATACACATACAAGGTGCTCACAAAATAATTATTTTATGAGCCCATATTTTCTATTTTATATCTTTTAAGTGTAATGGTTTGGGTTGTGGATATCTGCCTGGATAGCTCAGTGGTTAATCAGGTTAGAGCACCTGACTAGAAAGGCAGGGGTCCTGGGTTTGATTCCCATTCCAGTCATATACTTTCTCCTTCCCTGTTACATATGTTTTAAAATCTGTCATTCATAAATGGTTGTAGTATTAAAACATAGAGTCATCATACAATTTTTTCATCCTTTTCCTGTGAATGGGACAATGCCATTGTTAAGTACATGTATCAAACAAGATGGATAATTGTGTTTTGTTGCAATGAACTGATTATACAAGTCACATGACTCAGCTTCCTTAAACTCACCATATAAAAAGTTTATTATACCGTAATTTTCGGATGATAGGTCGATACTTTTTTTCTCAGAACCGCTGGGGTCACCCAATATACGAATTCGACCTTTCTAAGGCTCAAGTTTACGAAAAATGCCCCAAAATCAATAAAATTTACGTCAATTTCAAAGCAAATCTGTGCCACTTTCATAACTTTTATCATTATTTTACGCAGAAAAATTAATGCCAAGGTAAACAATAAAATATTTATTCTATAGCTTTCTTACAAAATAAATTCCATTAATTATCCGTTGATGACAAAAGAAAACAACATTGCTTCATCTATCAAATAATTCCTCCACGTATTATCCATTAACATCATGCGGTATCCATCTTGTGAAGTTAGGAAGTCGCTATCGTTTACTAAAAGTAAAACCGCAACCGTATCAAAATTTAGAATACGGAAAAATTTTCCAGATCACAACTGTAGTATTTTTACCATTTATTAGTAGCGATAAATTGAAATAGTATATTAAATATTTTTTATTGTCTTAAGCAAAGAATTAGTAATATATACGGGTGACAGAAATATAATTTACATTGAATTACCAGTATACAAAGATTGGCTTCTAACAGAATTTTAATTGTCTGAAAGATGAAGGGATTTGCACTGTGTAAGCAAAGGTGTAACACCTGTGGTTTAAATGCCTGCGGGGCATGATTATAACAAACCCACGTGCCGTTATAGGGTATTAGTGTTATATGTCATTGAACAAATAAAGCCGTGAAATTCATGTTGACAGTCAAATTGTGAATGTACTCTCAATTAAATTTATAAATTATATAATTTATAAATTAAACTTATTAGAGTGTTAATATGATTTCGATTCTTTACTGTTGCTTGATATATACATTCAATGGTCATTTGCGTGTTTTAGCGAATCCCTGGAGAAGAAAAATAAAAATGGCGGACATCGAAGTAATTGTCGTCCACCGGTAAATAATGTCTGAATAAAGTTAATAGGAATGTGTCCAAGTTGTTCTGAAATCGGAATTACTATTCTTTGGTCTCGGATATTTCCCGAGTATTATAGCTGTAAAAGAATAATATATTTACGTGTTATTTATGCCTTTGATTTAACAACAGTGTGAAACTACGGAGGCATTGAACAGGCAAGTTGGAAAAAAATAAGTAGTAACACAATTCAAAGAAGTTTTAACTTCTTTTAAAAAAAAACTTTATTTAAATTCTGTACTCGTTAAAATACCTGTTTAATTTCTCGATACGTTTATGTCACGGAATAACCCCGGTAATTCTAGGGGTTTACTGTTCTGATACGTTGTATCTGCGTAAGAATCTTTAGAAAACGGGAAACAAAGCCTCGTCCTATATAGTAAGTTCGTCCTATCTTAGGATTTTTCAAAAATTAAGGCTAAAAATGAGCCTTTCGACCTATATACCCCATCGACCTATAACCCAAAAATTACGGTAATTCATATAAAGTGAAGACACAAAAGTATTCACTAAATCTAACATTAAGTTGGAATACAGCTTTTAATTTAACATGTGGAGAAGTCAATGCTCTTGAAGCTATCACAGAATAAAAACAGATGGTTGTGTAAGCACCACTTACAAAGCAGTCTCGTTTTACTGATGAGACACTGAAATTGTAGGGAGTAGATACAGATAAATATCAATGAATTTATAGAATCCTGTGATCTTACCATTTAGCAGTGACAACATTTGGTCCAATTATAGGTACAAGAAAATCGATCAGGCTTATAGCTAATCCTAGCAGAGCAAAGGTCGTCAGGACAGAGGGCTCAAAATACCATATCAATCTATAAAACAAAAATATAGGTACACATTGAAAATACCGTAAACACAAACAGTGAAAGTTCCACATCTAATATGAATATATTTTCTCAAATTATCTACCTAGTCAAGTGCATTAGTCTAAAAAATGCTTTAGTACAGAAACCAGTATCTAAAAGGCACATGTTAAATGTACCAAAAAAAACCTGAAATGTTAAGTATTATCTTACGCAAATATAAAGGTGTTAATGCCCACTATGATGGCTGGGTAGAATGGTTTTTCCCAGTGAAGCAGACCGTTAAGTGGCAACAAAACTTCCCTCCAACTCTCCATATCTCTCTTCATCTGCTGAAGGCGGACTGCCTGAGTCTAAAATTAAAGACCCTCAAAATAACAATTCAAAACATTCAGATTGAATGATAACAAATCACTAAATTTTCATTGACACCTTTCATTTTCGTGAGATAAACAGATTCTCTTTATTAGTGAGAAAAAATATAAAAGAGTTGTGGTATTTGCTTTATATAATCTTTAGGAAGACTAATATATTATATATCTGAAAATATTTTTTCAAGCACACATTTTACAATCACTATGTAAAAATAAAGTTCTTCCTTAATTTGATAAACAGAACTTCTTGTACGGTGTACATTATAAATATGACTGTAGTATGGCTGTCTTTGAAAAGAAGAGTTTGATTCTTACAGGAATGGGATAAGTCTATTTTTAAAGATTTGAAAATGATGAGGCAGTTGTCAGAAAATTGACAAACAAGTTTCCTTTCAAAGATGCAACTCTCCTTATCAAGGATATGGCTAAAATTCAGAATCCTTGTGGGGAAATACAGGACATTTAATTAAAACCTGTATAAGTAGCATTAGCAACTCTAAATATTGCCCATTTCAGATCATTTTGTGTATTTGTTCCTATGACTTTAAAGTTTCTCTCTCTGGATAAAAAAAATTCTATTATTTCCAAGGTTCCTATTCAGTAATTGGGCTCCTGAGTCATCTTATTTTTAAAAACCTTTTCTTGTTTTCAATTATCTTCATATTATATCAGGAAGAAAATGTAAGGCAAAATAAAATATATAAAACAAGGCAGAAAAACTCTACTATTAAACATAACTTCTACTACAGAATGACATATATTTAATCACATGTAAATGACTACCTCTCTACTTTCACTTTGACTATTTCATGGGGAGAAAAAAATTCATTTTCGCTGATTAAACTTAATGTTAATAACACCATCCCTTCTTTAATAAATATATTTTAAAAAATCATAAGTCTTAACCATTTAAAATGTGTTTCCTGTCCTACCTGCAACTGACATTTCATTATAATAAAAAATTAACATAGACTGATCAATGAAGTTGTCGAGGGCACTGCTGTTTGTGTACAATAAACGTCGAGAATATGCAAATGAGTACCACGTGGCTTGCAAATAAGCTAAGGGAGAATTCAATGTGTGTTAAATATCTTCATTAATTTAGAAAATTACCTCCGTTTCTGAATTACTATCGTTCTCCATCTCTTTAATTTTTGCTACCAGTTAATGTGAATGGGTACCAGTTTTTTTTATTAAAATTAATTCGATCAATATAACAAAAATATGAATTTCATTATATTCGATTTAAATATATATTTTTTACTTAATAAGAAACGACTTCTGTTCGAATAGCTACATAAGCATATAAAGATCATTGAAATCTAAATGTGTAGGTAAGTTTTTAAGTCGATCGAAGAAAAGACGAACGAGTTAGCCATAAAGCAGAACAAACTAATAACGTGTGCGACAAATGACCTGACTTTGGTTTGATTAAAAAAAATGAATAAACCAGAGACATATAAAAATATGGTTTTATATGTCTCTGAATAAACTAATCATAAAAAAAAGATCTTTGTGAATCTTAATCAACTACTTTCAATTAATAAAAGACTAATTTAGAAGTGGAATTTTAAAATATAGATATTCATAAATTTAGTAATCCTCACTGACCTCAGATAAGAGATAAGTGAAAGGTTATCCATCATAGGAAACATACAAGCTACTAATATATTGTATGTTGTGATGCTATTATCAGCATAAGCACTTTGAATATTTAATTCTTAAACGGTCCTTCTGAACCGTGAGTAGAAAATTTTAACAGCGAGTGGTCAAATAAAAAAAGTAAATGCCCTATCCCATTCTTCTATAAATCTTAACGACCCTCTCATACAAGTAAGATATCAAGAGATAAAACCAGTTCTAAAGTGTTCATTAAGATTCATAATCCCTTTGTTTAATCAAATAATTTGCTTAAATATTTTTGATTTTCAAAAAAAAAAAATCATTTCAGAAATAATTTGCGAACTTACAGGCAAAATTAATAGCCCCCATCCCCCCTACCCCCCCCCCCCCAAAAAAAACAAAAACATTTTAACTCAAAAATTTTATAAAGGAAAATTAATAATAAAAATTTAACCCATTCAAGAGTCTTTCTTTTCAAAGTACCGATGCATCTTAATTTTACTCTCCAATCAGTGAAGGTTTTTCGATCAACTTACATATTAACTTGCCAAGATGATATAGTAATAAACTTCTCTTTGACCTATAAAACATTCTGTCACAAATTGAAGTTTTCTAACCTTAATAAATAATTTAATTGCACACTGACTGCTTTACTCACTTATTAATTTATCGTGTACCAAACGAATTTTATTTATTATAGCATTGTTAGTCTTAAAAATACGTTAAAGAAAGAGCATTCTTACTGATGAATGTATTTTTTTTTTTTTACAAACACAGAAAACAAATTGACAGGTGTAATCAAACAGATTTCAATTTTCTAAGTACCATTTAGTCTTCAAACCTCCATAGGCAGGCACGTAGCATCGTTTTTGAAAGTGGCGGGGGGGGGGGCAACCTGAGAATTTTTTTTTATACTTACCTAAAAAAAAGTTGACAAGCAAAAAAAATAAATACAAATCCAAAAAAAAAAAGAAAATAAAGAAATAAAAATAAATAAATAAAAACGGAAAATTAAAAATTCCCCAAACTCGAAAATCCTATTTCGTGAGGGGTGGGGGGTAATGGCCAACTTTTTTTCCGGGCCAACTTCCTTTCACTTCCAATTTTTCCCCTATATTTCCTAGCTATAAATATACTGTGGTAAAAAGTGGGGGGCCAACCATCTTTTCAATGGACATTTTTTATAGTAAAGGTAATGTATGGGGAAAAAGTGGGGGGAACCATCTTTTCATGGACATTTTCCCCCCCCCCCCCGTTGCTACGTGCCTGTTAGGTACATTATAATATAAATGGTAGAAAATTGATTCAGACCTATACGTTATACTAGTATAGAAAGTTGGAGAAATTAATATAATGCATTTCATACCAAAACGAAGTGTTCTGCGGTTTAGTCTTGGGTCAACTCAATGAAGAAAGCTTGCTGATCACTGATATACCCATTCAAAAGAAATAAAGGTTCATTACCCTATGGGTCTTACTGGGGTTGGTTATGTCTGTTATTTCTATGCAATATTGTTAACATCCGTGGCGATTTTTGTCAAAATTTGGCACCATAATTAAGGTAATGAGACGGTGCAGATAATTTCTGAGTTTTTAAATCTTGGCATAGTTTTTTTTTTCTATAATTAAATGCGTTTGTATTAAAATAAAATAATTTAGAATATATAACCATTTTAGGAAAAAAAAATAAATGTGTATACAGAGGGACGCCAAATAGGAAGAGCGATGCCCGAAAACATTTTACTTCTAAAGGAAGGATCACAAAAACATGAGATCACCTGTTAAAATGATCTTAGGACCTCTGACTTTTTAACAACCCCCCCCCCCCCCCGGGGAATTCCTTTTTGTCACAAAAGTCAGCGTCAGGTAATTATTGCGATGCAGTTTGATGTTTACTTATATAACAAAGAATATGATGGCCAAAATTTAAGTTAGATTTGATAACAAGATCTGTTTTTGAGCGTTCATTTAATCAAGCTGTCCGTGAGTTGGTCAGCTAACATATGGAGAGAGAATTTCTTTCTTTTTTTAGGGGGAGGGGGTATTATTTTGATTGAATATAAAACGATTTTGAATTTTGATACATAATGTTTGTTTTCGAATTAATGATGCAGACTTAGTTAAGAAAGATTGAGTTAAACTGTCCATGTGTTTATTGATGGGTGGGTGGGTGGGATGGTTCTGTCCTCCAGCAGCTATTTTGAGTGTCAGAAATTTATTTTATGATTTTTTTACACAGAATGTTTATCTTAAATTTCTATGATTAATAAATACATAGGAATATAATATGTTAAAAATAGCCATGATTTTCTATGGGAAAAAATAGATCTTTGACAAATCGGGTATTTAGTTTCTTCCTGAATTTTACCATTTCATCAAAATTTAAAAAAAAAAAAAAAACTATTGAATAAACAAGGAAATCTGTAGATATTGTAGAATTCTATTTGCCTTATAATTGGTTTTTATTATTTTTACAAAATTATAGCGGCCTACCGTAAATCTTTCTCATCTGAACGAGATTCCTCGAGAGTTAAAAATTGGGTCAACTACGAAATTTGTATATTCAAAACGATTGACAACACAGCTGAAAGAAATTTGTATTTTAAACGAGAGCAATGTCCTCTGTGAGTATACAACGTAAAGAAAACTAAATTTGAGTGTATATGAACAGTAGTATAGTCATATGTTTTGTTTAAATTCGGTTATTTGGTTCAAAATAAGAACATACGCGATATGTCAAATATTTGTATTTTCATGAAGTATAGCTTGATTTGAATCCGTATCATGCGTATGCTTTTTTCATTTAAATCATGGATTTCACATAAGTTTAGAGATAAAATTCGACCAAAATTCACTTAAACTATATGGTTTTGGGGATTGAAAAAACGACCAAGCTTAAAAATAGATTTGTTAGAAGTGTTTTCCCACTAAAGGGTTAGAGATCAGTTGTAACAGGCAAGGGGCTGAGGTTTATGAACAAAATCTCTCTGTGGACCTAGCAACAAATGTTTATTTCAAAGAGGCATTTTCATCAATTGAAGCGGTCAATTTGGCCGGTAGCGGTTCTTAGGGAAAACTGGATATTTACTTTTAGTGAAGTTTTATCTCCGTTTCTCTTCAAAAGAAGTAAATTATATGATTTATTGAATGTTATGTAACCTATCAATGGAAATAATTAAGTTCTTATTGTTTTTATAAAATTTTATTTCAGTTCTCAAATGTTGAAAACCTATCTCCTCAAATAATCCGCCAAGTCTCCAAAGAAATAGCAGATTTATGTAGTGATCCGCCAGAAGGCATCAAGATATTTCCAAATGAAGAAGATATAACAGATATACAGGCACAAATAGAGGGACCCTGTGAGTTATATGCCTCCGAGATCAAAGATAGGGAGGCATCTTATTTTTTATCCTGTCTGACTAGCTCTTGTTCTGTAATTAAACTTCTTAAATCTTCCTTGTAACCTCTACCTTCTTTTAAACAAAAGAAAATTGAGATTTTATGTTTGGCGAAGTTATAGTTGCAGAACTGTAGTTCTCTGCTAGAAAATTTAGAAAAGATAAAGCAATGAGCTACAGATCCAAGTGTTTCAAAAACCTTCAATTTACGTTGCCGCTTTTTGAATTTTGTCGCTCACTTCAAAGCATTATTTCTTCTATTTCATGCTTTTACTGACTTTAAAAATGGTATCCCATAATTAACCATACATTTAACACTTATTCCTGATATTTTATTTATCTTTCAATGGTTCCAAAACATCATTTATGGTTACAGACGTTGAAATAGGAATCTTAAACCTGGATTGAGCAACAAAAATGCGGTGGTGTAAATCAAAAGCTTTTTACAATGCTTGGTTATGTAGCTCTCTGATTTATCTGTCAAAAGTTCTCAAACAGAAACAGGGGTTTTCCTGGCGGTGGTGTAAATCAAAAGCTTTTTAAGAGACAGAAAGAGGTAAGATATTTATTTTGTTTCCTGCAAAACGTCTGAAAATCTCCACAAGTGTCAACATGTGATCGTATCATAGAGCTATAAATTTAAGTGATGCAACACTGATGTTTATCTAGTTATTATTACAATTTACATCACTTGTTTCATTCAAGTCACCTAAATCCATGATCATAAAAATTGCACCTCATGAAAGTTGTCAGTGAATGAGTGATCTTACACACTGTGCACTTCCTTGCATGATCAAAGTTACTAATTTGCCTAAACGCAAAAAACCTGTCATCCTACTTTTCTATCTTCCAACATAGGCCTTTCAAAGATATATTTTCACTTATTTGTTATAATTAATGTAACTACAAAGTAAAATCAATATAGATAACAATTAATTTCCAAAATTTATTTCCAAATATTTTTTTTAATTTATAAATCTTTTACTCCAGTCATGAATGTAAAGTAAAACTAAACAGTGTTTTCCTGCATTTTTTTTTTAATATACAACAAAAAAAATTATGTTCACTTATTCTTAGTCACAAATGGAATATATATTGACAAAAAAAAATTCTGAAAATCACCTTTATCCAATTAATCACTTAAACTTTTTTCCTTACTTCAGTCATGAGTCCATAAAACTAAATAATATTTTTTTCTGGAATTTTTCATTATCTAATTTTTTTATACATGTGTATTGATAAGTAAAATTTATAGCAATTTTTTTTGGGCATTTTTTTATCATCCAACAACAGCTGAATAATGTGCAACTCTTTATATACATGTTATATCTGTCTACAGTTGTTTACTCTATTGTAACACAGACACTTTTTGGTCCCTTCATTTTCATTGATTTGGGGAAATAACAAAATTGGTCCTTTTTAAAATTTTCCCAATTTGAACAGTTTTTGCGTCAACTTTCCCAATTCTACGGACCCCAGACCCAGTTTAAAAATGGTAGGAAAACCCCTGAGAAAGCTATAATGCTGCAGCTAGCAAAGTTATAGTATGATTCTTTTATATGACATTGAGCTGAAATGGTTTTCATCCCGTCAAACTTTCATCTATTATTTTTATACCTCCCGCAAACGAAGTTTGGGGGGGTATATAGGAATCACCTTGTCCGTCTGTCTATCTGTCTGTCTGTCCGTCTGTCTGTGCAATCGTGTCCGGTCCATATCTTTCTTACAGAGGGACATTAGAATCTACTACTCCATACAAAGATTGCCCATGACCTAAGGGTGTGTCATGACCTTGACCCAAGGTCATTTGGGGAACTTCAAGGTCACTGGAAGAAAAATTTCATAATTCGTGTCCGGTCCATATCTTTCTTATGGATAAACTTGGTAGGTTCTTATTTCACACAAAGATTGCCCATGACCCAAGGGTGTGTCATGATCTTGACCCAAGGTCATTTGGGGAAGTTCAAGGTCACTGGAAGAAAAATTTCATAATTCGTGTCTGGTCCATATCTTTCTTATGGATAAACTTGGTAGGTTCTCATTTCATACAAAGATTGCTAATGGCCCAAGGGTGTGTCATGACCTTGACCCAAGGTCATTTGGGGAAGTTCAAGGTCACTGGAAGAAAAATTTCTTAATTCGTGTCTGGTCCAAATCTTTCTTATGGATAAACTTGGTAGGTTCTCATATCACACAAAGATTGCCCATGACCTAAGAGTGTGTCATGACCTTGACCCAAGGTCATTTGGGGAAGTTCAAGGTCACTGGAAATAAAATTCATAATTTGTGTCCGGTCCATATCTTTCTTATGGATAAACTTGGTAGGTTTTCATTTCACACAAAGATTGCCCATGATCCAAGGGTGTGTCATGACCTTGACCCAAGGTAATTTGGGGAAGTTCAAGGTCACTGGAAGAAAAATTTCATAATTCATGTTTGATACATATCTTTATTAAGGAAAAACTTACTTCTGAAAAACCCAGCGGGGGGTATTTTGTCCCGTTTGGACAGTTCTAGTTTTTTTTTGGGGGGGGGGGGATGAGAGGTACCTCAAGTTTAAAATGAACCAGAATTGGTATGGTAGACATATTGTAGACTGAAATTTGCCTATCTTCATATTAAGAAAGATGGTAACTGTTACCATTAAAGTTAAAAACTCCGGACTTGATTCATGCATCATACATTGTCAATGCTTTACATTATAGCATTGGAAGTAAACTGTAGAAAAGCAGGGATCTGCAAAGTCAGAGAGTCAACTTAAAATATTTTTTATGTTAAAACTTTATAGATTTGTCAACTAATACATGTAATATGGTTACACAAAAGGGCAAAATTACTCCAGACTGTTTGTATGTTTGATTGAAGCATGCATTAGATCTGCTGAGATGAAGACAAAAGTCTATCATTCACTTTTTCCCTTTCTTTTTATTTCAGCTGGAACTCCATATGCAGGAGGTTTATTCAGAATGAAACTTGTGCTGGGAAAGAACTTTCCCTCAGAACCCCCAAAAGGATTCTTTGTAACAAAAATTTTTCATCCAAATGTTGCAAGTAACGGTGAAATTTGTGTGAACACTTTGAAAAAAGACTGGAAGGCAGAACTTGGAATTAAACATATATTATTGGTAGGTGGTATTTGGTAAAAAATTAACCTTGTATAGACCCTTTTCCTATGACAAATTTTATCTAGGAGTTATTCCCCTTAGCCGCCATATTGTAGGGCAACATATCCAGATCCCTTCATTATTCAACCAAGTTCAATTTGTTATACTGGTTAATGAGGTAAAGATTTCACTATTTTTCTTACGAATATATGTTTGTCAAGGCTTCTATTAATTCATAATTTTAAAATTGTAAATATTTTCCCACATGTATTTCTTGCATGCATACTTGTATTTAAAATTGGTTGCTCAAAGAGGTAAATTCACTACTTTACCCTACAAGATGGCGGCTAAGGGGAATAACTCCTAGGCAAAATATGTCATAGGAAAAGGGTCTATAGAGGAACACACATACAGGGAAATTTGTTAAAATTCTACATATTAAAAAAAAATCTCTATAAAATTTGTAAAAGTATTCATTAATCACTCATCAGACTGAAAAGAAAACATTGATCACCATTCTTCTTAATTAAAAATAACAACCACTGATTTTCCTGAAATAATATTATACTGGAATAACTACTGTATATACTAGCCTATAAGTCATATTTTTGAAGTTTATATTAGAGGGATTGACCTTTTGAAAAACCAGTCTTTTTATAACTCGCCTATAAGTCAGACATAGAGTTTTGGACCAAAGTTTAACTCCCAAAAATCCGACTTACAGGCGAGTACATACAGTATGTTAATGTAAAGAATAATGGAAGAGTTTTGCTCTTTGTCATGACAAGAGACACCCACCTGTCCGAAGCTATATGAAACCTGTCCAAGATGAGTGACCTATTGGTATACATTTTATAATGACATTCATTTACAATATTTTGTTTTCTTTTCAGACTATAAAATGTTTATTAATAGTACCAAATCCCGAGTCAGCGTTAAATGAGGAAGCAGGGAAACTTCTTCTGGAACAATATGAAGACTACTCAATGAGAGCAAAGTTATACACAGAAATACACGCCAAACCTCCAAAGTAAGTGTCAAAGTTATACACAGAAATACACGCCAAACCCCCAAAGTAAGTGTCAAAGTTATACACAGAAATACACGCCAAAACCCCAAAGTAAGTGTTAAACTCATACACAGAAATAGTCCTAAGTCAAACACAGAAATACAAGCCAAACCTCCAAAGTAAGTGTTAAATTTACACATAAAGAAGTCCTCAAAACTAGAGTAAACTAAAAAGTTAGATACACACACACACAAAAAAAAATGGCAAACCTCCTTTGTGTCAAAATTACTCAAACTTTACTAAGAGTAAGCTAACAATTCATACACAGCATTACCTGAAGATTTTATAACTTTGTAATTTAGTAAATTCTGAATTCATAATTTTGTATTTTCCCAGATTGTAACTTTATCTGTCTGCTGTAATTCTATGCCCCACACCTGCATGAATATAGATAAGGTCTATTGTCTTGAAATTATATTATTCCAGTGTTACGAGCCTAGCTGTCTTTATATTCAGGGATGTCAAGACTTACTATCTATCAAAAGAACTAAATGCTGAACTTTTTGATTTTTGTAGAACATCAAAGGATACAGCAGGAATATTAGCAGAATCAAGTAAAAATAGCCAAGAAGGACCATTAGCCAAGAAACACGCAGGCGACAAAAACGTGTTAGATAAGAAGAAAAAGGAAAAGAAGAAGGTTCTAAAGCGGTTATGACAGAAAAACATTAGGAAGAGCGTACATCTGAGAGACTTCTTTATCACATCCATTTCCATTACACACTCATTGCAAGGTTGTTTGAAACAGCAAGCCACAATATCATGTATTAACATGTTTCTTGGATCCCAGAGATAGTTAACTGAGGGGTAGCTAAATGCCGGTGAATACAAGTATAGCTGCAATGTACATATATTTATGGTATTTGAGGTGTACTTCAGCTATCCCCCAGTTTTGTGAAGGGTAAACCTTTTCCTTGTATGTAGAATGGTGTTTTCTTTTTCTTTTAGAGTTTTGTTTATGAGAGTTATTTCCAGCCTGTGTTTTTTTTTGTCAAATGAAAAAAAATGCTAGAAATGAACCCCCCGCCCTTTCTAGATGAAAAAAAAGTATTTTCTATTTACAACACAGAGTTAAAAATGAAACTAAAAAACCTAAGGTTAAAGTAAGGAAGATTCTCTGTCAAGTTGATACATTATTCAATAAGGTTTGGATCTATTAACCTGTGAATTACAAAAAAAAAAAAAAAAAAAAAATGAACAGGTCACCAACACATTGTTAGAATGCACTTGTAAGTAAAACTTACCTGGTAATAATGCATTCTCAAGATGTGCTGGTGATCTGTTTATTTCTTAAATGTGTAAAACCACTCTTTCAAGTCTTTTGTGAAAAAGAACGCATGAAAGTTTCTCTGAAAGCGAGCAATGTCTGCAGATGAAATGGTGCTCAAAGTACTGATACTACCCCTAATTATATTAAATCAAACAATTATTATTTATAAGGGTCGACTCTGACACAGTGTAGAAACATTTCCTTATTTCAATGTGTACAAAAAGGTTATTTATTTTATAAATGTTATTAATTTTTATGTTTTATCTTTATTTTACCCTTGCATGTGCTTTGTGAACATTTTGTGATATTCTTTGTCCCAGAATCATATAAATACATGAGTAATATATATGTGTCAAATAAATGTCAAGAAACTTTTAAATGTATTCAGATTTATTTGAAAAAAATATTAGATCTGCATGACCAGAAATTAAATGTACCTGCAGATATGTTCATTTAATTAAAAAAAATTTCAGTGAAGCTGGGAAATATTAACTATACATCCCAATCTTATCTCACATTTGTATGTTTTCAACAGGCTTCAAAAGGGAGTTGTCACCAATGGATGACTGAACCTTAAAGTTGCTTGACCCTATATATAGATTATTTCATACAAGGTCATGGCCACAAGAGAAAAAGTTTAAAATTATTGTCAAGGGCAACAACTTTGAAACAGAAACATTAAAAGCTGATATTGAGCTAACTAAAAGTAAATGTGGATAACTCAAGCCACAGATACCAAAGTAAAAATTTTATTGTCAAGATCCACAACTTTTAAATTGAGAAAAATTAGCACCTGATAAGGGTTATATATTTAAACAACTGCGGCCTACATTACATGGAGAGTCTGGCATTTATTACAATCTTGATTTTGAACAAGAGGCTCATGGGCCACAATACTCACCTGAGTAACTTTGGCTACTGTTCTTCACCAGATCTCCCCTGTAATACCTATTGTGGCACGTCCCTACCCGTGGCCATCATAATTTGAACAGTTTAGAATCTACACTACCCCAGGATACTTTCACAGAAGTTTTAGCATTTCTGGCCTAGTGGTTCTTGAGAAGACTTTTCATATATATTTTTCAATGTAAATCTTAGATTCCCTATTGTGGCCAAGCCTTACCCCTCCTGGGCCATGATTTGAACAATTAAGATTGTATACTACCCCAGGCTCCGGGGCCATAAAACTGAGACGAGCTCACTTTTGATCTTGGTTTCACTTATTCAAAAGGAATTAATGGTGGAAAAGTGAGACCGAGATCAAAAGTGAGCTCGTCTCAGTTTTATGGCCCCGGAGCCAGGATGCTTCAACACGATTAGTTAAGCTTTTCTGGCCTAGTGGTTATTAAGTTTTTTTCCCATTAATTTAATGTAAAACTTTGCATGATTCCCTGTCATGATCCCTACCTCCGGTGTCATGATTTTGAATTTACACTCCCCAAGGAATCTAATCCTCATGAGTTTCAGCTTTCCTGGCCTGGGGGCCATAAAACTTGGACGAGCTCACTTTTGATCTCAGTCTCACTTTTCCACTATTAATTCCTTTGTTAAAAGTGAGACTGAGATCAAGAGTGAGCTCTTCTAAGTTTTACGGCCCCTAGTGCCTGGCCCAGTTGTTCTTGAGAACTATTTTTAAATGGTCCTATCCTATTTTTGTCTTTTCTTGATCATCTCCCCTGTGAAGAGGTTTGGACCTACTTCATTTTAAAGAAAATTTCAACTCCCCTTCACCCAAGGATGCTATGTACCAACTTTGGATAAGATTGGCCCTGTGGTTTTATAGAAGTTGAAAATTTGAAGTTTACAGACCAATGGAAGACACTGACAGACAACAGGTGATCAGAAAATCTCACTTGAACTTATAGCTCAGGTGAACTAAAACGCCTAGAAATGTTTACATTATATAATCCAGACTGAATCCACTAGCTTCATCCAAGAATTCTTTATGTTTGAAGTTGATAAATAATTAAATGCAGAAGAAATTTACATTAGACAAATACCAGTGCTTCTGAGACCATATACATGTACATTATTATTGTACACTAATTTTTGTACACAAATTTTTGGTCCGAGTTAATTTGCTGCTTTCATTGACATTTCTACTACTGTACCTAGTATTCATTGGTCCACTTTTAATCTCATATTCAGTGTGTATATACTTTTGGCACTTTTCAACAGTGAACTATGAATGTAGTCACTACATTGTTTCTTAGATCAAATCTTTAAATCCAAAAGATAGTATGTCCTCCATGCTCTCACAAAATATTTTTCATACTAAAAAAAAAAAACAAATTCGGAAGAAAAACTTTATTTACTAAATGAATGTATGATAATCAATGATAAGCTAACACTAATGAATATTACTTTTAAATTAACAATATATACAATCAGGTGCTAGACTAACAATAGGTGCTAGACTATGACTGAACATTTTAGCATTAGGTTCACAGATTTAAGTTTGATACCGTCCTGTTAGAAATTAATTTAATGAAGTTTTTTAAATGAATGCCTAGTGTAATATAATCATGTACATGTATATTGTGCAGGCCCAGAGCCCATCTCCCCTCTAATAAAAATGGTTTTTGGTATTTTAAAAGCTTATCATTTAATCACAAATAAATTTGGACTAGTCTTTCATCTAATTGTAATAATTAATGGATAACAACATGAATATGGAAATGAAGGGAACACTTCTATGATAATAACTAATTACTTTAACAATGTACTGTATAAAATTTCATATACTTCATGTATTTATATTTGAAATAAAATTTATAGAAACAAACATCTAAATTATAAGGAAAAAGATGTACAAAATCACCCAAGCTCGGTTTACAAACAACATAAAAGCTTGTATATATATATCACAAATAATTTAGCTTGATAATTTTATAATGGTTTGTTGTGTTCATTTTGCCGTTTGTGGAATCTGTGGCAGTCCGAATTCATCAACAGGCACATTTCCCTCTTTCATGCTTTCTGCACCTGGTTCGCTCGTTGCGACACTAGGTAGAGCCACGTCATCAAGATACGAGGAATCTTCATCGAGAGCAAGATCATCACCCAACGCATCCAACTCTGCCTCCAATTCATCATCGTCAAGTTCAGGCATGCCGTAACTTCTGCCCATGACTTCTTGAATCTCATTTGCCTGCTCTGTTAAATCTTCCATATCATCCTGTAAATTCTCTATTTGATCAATGTTTACATGTTTGTAAGCCTTCTTGAATTCTTTTACACCGACTTTCATGGCATCCACTGTTGTTTTGGTATCCTTTAGTGATTGGATAGCGTAATTCTGTTGTTCTATGTTAAATGACTGTTGCATAAGATTATCCCTTTGATTCTCGTACATTCTCTTCTGCTTCAGAATTCTGAGAGCCTTTTGCTTCACCATATTTTTGGACGGCCCCTCTCTCATTTTCTTCATTTGATCTTTATACTTTTTCAGTTCTGCATCTAGTCTTGCTATCTTTTTGTCAATAGATTCTCCTCTGCTGTCGATACTGTTCACGCAGTCAGTAAGATTTGGTGGTGGTTGTTTTTCTTTACCTCTTCCGAAAAGACGATTCATTTTCTCTCAATTCTTTAACCGTTTAGGATTCTCTTTTTTGTTGTTTATCAGGTGAAAATGCGTCAAAACTTAACCGGAAGTGTAGTATTTCTAAACTTCCTAATCATGATCGCTTGAGCGTTTGTTTATTTTCATTCAACGTAAATATGACGCTCTGACAACATGTTGTGATGTATCTTCAAAAACTGAATATAAAATGATGAAACACTGTCCTGTGAAGATTAAATGAAGAGTTTATTGTGAACTGTACCTAGAGTATTGTTAAACTGGTAATGTAAATTAAAGCAAAACACAATAATTCTCTAGATAATAGTGATAGTGATTACTGATATTTACATCCATAGACTGGCATAGTCACTTGATTTCAATTTTGTGTCTATACCAGGGTAATATTTTTCTATGTCTGTCTTAACAAATTTATTAGAACAACAAGATGTGTTTATGAAAAACTGATGCTCCCATATGGCACCTTTCTTATGACGAAAATTGAAGTTTTTCAAATGCTAGTCAAAATCCAAGGTCAAGGTCAAATTTGTTGGTGTCCAGAAAAGGTCTTATCACAAGGAATACACCCGTGAAATATGATAGGCCTTGAAGTAACTATTCAAAAGTTATGGCCAAGGTTAAAAATTTTAAAAAGTGGTTCAAACTGTAGGGGTCAAGGTCAAAAAAATCAAAATATATACACCCGTTGAAAGTTCTTGTCTCAATGAAATCCAAGAGAAGTATGAAAGCTCTAGCATCAATTGTTCAAAAGTTTTGACCAAAGGTTAAAGTTTGACTTTTTTAATAACAGTGTGTCAAACTCCAAGGTCAAGGTCACAACATAAAATTTGGTGGTTCCTTGTTACAAGGAATACACTTCTGAAATATGAAAGCCATAGCCCATCCCACTCAAAAGGGGCAAGATTTAAGTTTTTGCAGACAGACAAACGGATGGACGGACAGAAAACGGACAGGGCAAAAATTATATACCCCTGAATCTTCAATAGATAGTTTTCATATGACCTAATTTTAGCAAAAGTTATCTCCCGTTGGCCGCCATACTGGAGGTCCAAATGCTCATATTCCTTCATTGTTCAACCAATTTTAAATTTTTATATTTGCGATTTTGAATTAGGAATCATTATTTTTCTGAAGTATATAAATTTTTGGAAGCCTCCTTTATTAAGAAAAAATTATTTAATGAAGATTTTCTACCAAATATTTCTGCTATATTTTCTTAAACTTGGTAAGACAAAGAGGAAACTCACCGTGTCGACCTCCAATATGGCGACCAACGGGAGGTAACTTTTGCTAAATTTGGGTCCATCGAAAACTATCTATTGTGGAGGCATAAAAAAGTAAATTCTGTGATTTTTAAAAGAAAAAATTTAAATGAAGGTATTTAGAATTTTAGACGTAGAAAAACAAAATACAACCTGAAACCAAGTGGCTATGAATACATCATGTCAAACCAAACCATGAAAAACTGTATGCATGCACTAATAATGTTCGGAACTGTAAAATTTTTGCCTGTCTGATGACAATGAACTGTTTATAATTTGTGTATCTAGTGTATATAAAATTGTAAATATGTACAAGATTGTTTTGATCTATCCTGCATGAAAAAATGAACAGTTCTGCAGATTTCTTAAATTCTACAGATCATCATGCAGCTTTCCTTACGATTTCATGTGATTTCTAGCCTTGCAGTGGTGGATCCAAAGTTGATGTGGGGGGGGGGGGGTTTGAGGCCCAAAAGGGGGAGGGCATGGGAGTCCCCCTCCCATTGGTGGGGGTTTTTGTTTTAAATGGTTCTAAATGGTGCATTTTCCAGCATTCTTTTGTAGCTTTTTTAAAGACCAATCATCACAAATTTTTAAGAATCCAGAAAAATAAAATGTTTCAATTTGATTTAACTTTAACACAAGACTTTAAACCTTGTTTAAGAAAATGGAGCCCCCCCCCCCCCCCCCCCCCCCCCCCCCCCCCCCCCCCCCCCCCCCTGAAAAAAATTGTTTTAAATAGTTCTAAAATGGTGCATTTTCCAGCATTTCTTGTACTTTTTGTAGCATTTTTAAAGACCAAACATCAGAAATATATAAGAATTTAGATATATATATATAAAATGTTTCAAAGTACATGTAATTTTACTTTAACACAAGACTTTAGACTTTGCTTTAAAAAATTGTAACATCTGACAATTTTAGGAATACAAGCAGTTGACTTCAAGTTGTCTTCACTTTAAATGCATTTTCAATTAATTTAGTCAAGCTGACTTCTAAGATACAACTGATGTGCAATTTTAAACACTTTCAAAAAATCAAACATTGATTTCTTTTCAGAATTACTAATCAGTGCTTTTCAATTTACTTGAGTATACTGTCAATATGATTTGGAATATAAACACACATGCACAATTAATGATATTTCAAACTTAAAAAAAAAATTACTTAAACCGAAGAATCTATCAAAACTAGAGGATTTTGGAAAGCCAGCCTGATTTTGTAAAAAAAAATGTATTAATTTAATTTTTAAAACGGTAAATAAAAAACCCTATATAATTGTTTATTCAAATAGTTAATAAAATACCATGCATTTTATCAGCAAAGGAATATTACAGAGCAGCACCGTAACTATGCAGTTTTCTGTTGTTGATACTTGACTACATTGTACTAGTACATGATCTTGTGACTTCACTAGATGCACGGACTACCCCTTTCTCTGTTGATTACCTGTGTATTGTGTGCATTCAAGCGGAAAGTGATTTCCTGTTATGTAGTTAAAGTATATTTCACAGTTGTACAGAGCAATGGATTTGTGTTTTATTAGAGTCTTATCAATGCAACAAAATGATAAAATGACACTTGTAAAAAAAAAAAATTCAATGAGCGGGGGGGTGGGTTTTCCTGAACCCCCCCAAACCCCCCTGAATCCGCCCTTGGCCTTGCAATGACTGTTACAGATGACAAAAAATCATTAGAACATGTTTTTTTTTTATGCGATGCTGTCTTTTTATTCTTGTAGGATCTGAAATCATGCCTACAGAGCAGTATAACAAAGAAGCATCTGTCTTGAGGGATTTTCGAACTGGATTAAAAGAGTTCTTCAATTCAGAACAGTTTACAGATGTCACTCTTAAAGTAGAAAATGAATCATTCAAGTGCCATAGGGTAATCCTGAGTAGCATGTCACCATATTTCAGTCGCATGTTTTCGGCCGGGATGAGAGAAAGTACTGAGGAAACTATTCCGATTAATGGCTTCTCTCCAAGTATTGTCAAAGACTGTCTACTCTTCATGTACACCTTAGGAGAGGAAAATTCCCAGTTTGTAAATACATGGGAAGATCTGCTGCATGCTGCAACCTATTTTCAGATTGAAAGTTTGCAAATGATCTGTGAAACAGAAATCAGCACATCCCAACTTGCTGTCAACTCGGTGTGCAACTATTATGAAATCTCTCAACAGGATCCATCTTATGTCATGTTAAAGGAGAGCTGTGAAAAATTTATCATGTCAAACTTTGTGGATTTAGCTTCGAGTGAAGAATTTAGTGCCCACAGTGTCGAGACTTTCCTGTCTATTCTTGAAAACAAGGAACTCCAAGTTGAGGAATATTGGGTCGGGGTGGCCGTTCTTAACTACCTCACGGCTAGAGCTGGAAATCTGGAAGAGGATGAGGTAAAGGAAGTCTTGTCGGTTGTCCACTTTCCAATGATCAACAAAGAACATGTCGTCCATCTACAGGATCAGTTTCTAGACCTTATCAAGCACAAATACCCGGAGATGAAAAACGTACAGAAGAGCTTGGAAGAGATATTCCAACAGACAGAAAATTACCACAATGATCCTTCCCTCCAGATAGAACTTATATCTGACTTTAGGTCTACAAACAAGGAACTGAATTTTATCTCAATAGGTGCCAGCCGGTCATTTTTGTCCGATTCTGAAAAACTGCAAATATTTGATGTGTATGGATTTCCTTTATCCGAGCTTCCATTTTGCAAAATTTTCTGCAATTATGGAGAGTCGTCCATAGTTATGGCAGATTATTTTGGGAATCTGTTTGTATTTGACTTTCTAGAGTTAAATCTGCAGAAAATTGTAGACTGTGAACTGTTGCCTAGAAAACACATGGGGATGATTGCAGTGAAAGACAGTGTCTATGTTTTCGGAGGCATCGATAACGTCACCTGCAAAGCCAGCAACAGAATTGATCAATACTGCTTTGCCGATAAATCTTGGAGAAAATGTGGAGAACTTTTAGAGGGAGTCCAAGATGCCACAGCTATCAATTCCAATAATAAAGTTTACATTTTTGGGGGTTTTAACGACAGTATGGACATTCTGTGCCAGAAATTCCAGTGCTTTGATCCTTCCACAGGGGAGACAACTCTGATTCCTTATAAATGTAACGACTTATTTACCAGAGAACACGTGAGAGTTGTGGGCCAGGGTGAGGACATTTATGTGATAAGTTTGGTGGATGGCAGTATCCATCACTTCAACCCACAAACTCTGGAACTAGATGAATTCTATGAATCGAATTATGCCAAAGAATGCAAAGATGTTGTCAAATATGGATCCTTGTTGTTATTTGTGGGAAGTCCACTCGAGCCGGATGGAGTGCGGGCATTAGATGTGAAAAACAAAATAGAAATTCCAAGTCCTCACCAGATATTTACTCCATCAGAGTTATACAGGTGTATGAAGATAATTCAGTGGAAGCCTATCAGACTTACAAATGACAATGAGGAGGAGAGCCTTGCCTCTGGAAGTTACTGTGAACCATATGACAGTGTTAATGATGACAGTCTTAGTTCCTACTAGACTGAGCTGTAAGATTCCTAATTTTGTGAATATAATATGCAAAGATTCTCCTTTGTTCAATCACAAAATTAAGGATTCTTTTATTTTGTGCGACTCTTCATCAGAAATATTAATAAAGAGGTGAGAATTTGTGCATAGAACTTGTCTTCAATTTTTTGATATCATAAGGAGAAATAGGCTGTCTTAAAGAGCACTGGGAATCTATGAGTTTAGCTAAGATCTGTAGATCACAGGACAGAAACAATATGGATGAATGATCCGAGTTACAAGCCACCAAATGAAACAAGAGGCCCATGGGCTACATCTCGCTCACCTGAGTAGCTTTGATCATGCTGTTCTTTACCAAATTCCCCCCTTGTAATACCTTTTGTGACCCCACGGCACCCTACCCCCAGGGGTCATAATTTGGGCAATACAAAATCTACACACTACCCCAGAATGCTTCCACATAAGTTTTGGGCTTTTCTGCCCCAGTAGTTCTTGATAAGAAGATTTTTCCTATATATTTCAATGTTAAACTTGGGTTCCTTATTGTGGCTCCGCCCTACCCCCAGGGGTCATGATTAGTACAATTTAGAATATACACTAACCCAGGATGTTTCTACATAAGTTTCATGTTTACTGGCCCAGTAGTTTGTGAGATTTTAAAATTTTTTTCCCTATATATTTCTATGTAAAACTTTGAATCCTTATTGTGGCCTCGCCTAATCTAATTAAAATTAGATGTTATATCCCCTCACACACTCGCTATAGTAACATCTACGGCAACAATATCCCACAGAGGGTCACGTCAGAGGTCTTATTCGGAACAGCTCTAAACTTATTCGCTTCAAAAATACACGATGATTTTGCAGGCGACGATTTGATTGGTTGATAGAATTTGACCTCTGACCTGACCCTCAATGGGATGTTTTTAGATGTTAGTGTGGTGAGTATGTGAGCATTAATCAAATATTTTTGAAAAGCAAGGATGCCTTCTCAAAAATTGTGCAATGTGTGGATCTAGGCCTAAGGGTCAGGGGTTCATGTGTGGTAGGGGCACTACTGATTATTGCTGAATATTACCGATTAGTTGAAATGCATTTTTTGTTCCCCTACCCTGCCTATGGGTATTAAGTAACAAAGCAACTGCTAATTATATAGTTATGATGATCAGTGGTGCCTCTTTCAAAATTGTGAATGCCATAGCATCTGGCTTAGAACATGAATCAAATTCAATCACTGGAAAGTTGTTGCATAATGCTCAGGTGACCTATAAGGCCCATGGGCCTCTAGTAATTAGATTGGGCCTTGCCCTACCCTCACTGGACATGGTTTGTACAATTTAAAATCTACACTAGCCCAGGATGCTTCCATATAAGTTTCAGATTTTCTGGCCCCGTGGATCTTGATAAGATTTTAAAAGTTTTTTCCAATATATTTCTAGGTAAAACTTTGATTCACTTTTGTTGCCCGAGGGATCATGAATCCCCATTTCACAGAAGCCTGATACATCAAAGAATGCTTAGTTTTAGGTGAAAGATCAATGAAATTTTCAAGTGTATTGTACCCAGATTCCTGCTGAATGCATATCAAAAGGGTCCTTGTTCTTTATAAATGCATCAAACAACATACATGAACCCCAAAAATTCACGGAGACAATTAAAATTATCATTAATTTTATTTAAAACAAAATTTATACAAGAATGTGTGTCTGACAAAAAGAGACAGAACCCATATATAGCTAGAAGCCACTTTATCCTCATTGATCCGAGAAAAAAATAATACACTTAAATGAGAAGTTTTGTGATTCAGTAACACTGTCACTATCGCAGGAAATGTCTGAATGAAGCCTTGGATGGTCAGCATGATGCTATGAATGACAAGTGGATGACATCCTTTTATCGAGATGAACTGGAGCTTGATCGACTGTATCTCCTCCTTTTGGCGGGGGACCTGGATCTGGAGCGCCGCCTTGGTGGTGGACTTCTTCGTCTTGGAGGTGGTGTCCTAAAAAGTCGACAAAGGTTGAATTTAACTTGTAATCCCAACACAAGCTTTATGCACATGATGTTCATTTCTTTCTTCAGGTTTTAATGCAAAATCTTAGTATGGTAATAGTTACATTTTAAGAGTACAGTATTGTTTTCTACATAGTACAAACCCTCTTCTATCCCTGTAATACTGTAATATTATTATATTTTGTACAATAATATATCTTTAGTACTAAGTACAAACCTTCTTCTATCCCTGTATCGTGGGGAGGCTGGGCGGCCCCACCTCGGTGGTGGACCTCTATTCCTGGGAGGACTTCTTCGTGGTAGAGGTCTTGCTGGTCTAGCTGCCAACACTGCACTTGCTGAAATTTCTTGTCCATCAATCTGACCTGATACAGAAAATTGTATAATGTAAAGCAAAAATATATATTTTCTTTTACCCTTTTTCCCAACTCCTTCCAGTATAGTCATCAAACTAAACAAATATGTCAAGTGTCTTATGTCAGTTTAAAGGATTTGACAACAAAAATTACAAACAATGGATTAACTAGTATATATCATCAAAATGGTTTGATTTGTTTACATTAACCCTTACTTACATAAAGTAATATAAACTAATGAACCCTTATTCTTCAAAAGAAAAATTATTGGCCTGCTAGGCCTTACTGCCGCTATCATTACTTAAGAACTAATTATATGCATGTTTTCCTATTTCCTTGATTTACTGAAGTTCCTATAAGATTCTAAAAGTATTAAAAATCGTACCTCCATCCATATATTTCACAGCCTTTTCTGCCTCCTCTGGTGATTCATATTCAATATATGCAAATAATTTAGTAAAGTTAGAATGCACCCTGTCTAAGGGCATATCTATGTTTTTGATGCTGCCATAATTGGAAAAAATCTCCATGATGTGATCTTTATTCACATTCCGTGTTAGCTTTCCGATGTGAACTTTTGTAGGCTTGGGTTCTGGGCTCTTCTTTCTCCTCTTTGGTGATCTAAACAAAAAAAAATAGTTGATAGAGATGAATAAACCATAACAGTTTACAAAGAATTTTAAACTACTGAGCTTCTTACTCTTTTTGACAGATATTTGAAAATGAGGAGCTACTAAACAAATGCTTTAAAAAGGTTTAAAATTAAAATTTAAGTAAAACATGTTAATGGTAAAATGACGGGGACAAAGAGTTTTAGTTCATTTACATAAAGTATAGTTTGTTATACATGTATCAATTTATTCACAATATGTTTGAAAACCTTAGGATTGAAATTCACTTTGCTGTAGGCAAAAGTTCATTATAAGTGTGTTCATTATATAGGGTGGGAGGAATGTTACTTTGGAATCTATGCAAAGAGAAATACATGTAAAAACACTAAAATAATATAGTCTTCAACTTACTCTGATTGCTGCCTTTTTGAGGCTTTTCCTCCCCTTCCTTTCCCACTCTGGCTTGAGGAGGAGCATTTTGTAATTTAATTTTTTTTTTTATTTTTCATAACATTGAAACTGCTGCTTGACGAGGAAATTTTCCGGACCTATTTTTGTGAGATAGTCATTGAAAAAAAAATTGTAAGCAAATTTTAATAATGAATGTTATGAAAAAAAACTTTCTCCATACGATAATCCAAATGGTGCATTAAATACAATGAATGAACAATTGAGTATTTTAAATTCTATAAGAACTTTGTGGTAAGAAGAAAACTACTTAATAAAAGTGATTATATAGTAATTTTCTACCGCAATTTCTGACTTGTTTTTCCTGTAAGTCAGTGGTTTATAACAAACTTTAATTTATTATATATCTAAAGCTATTGCATATTTGAAAACATAAAATCCTTTAATTATCTTACAAAAATCATTCAAGATTTTTTTTTAGCAAATATTATACTCCTACATCCCAGTAGTAAATTTTGTTTTAAGCAAAATCAGCACTGCAAACAAAGCCATTTTTTAAGAAATTGCCTTCAACCTACTCTGGTTTTTGCCTTTCTTTATATTTAAATTACATTATTATTATGCTTTAAAATTTATCAATAAATCAATTCCTATATAAAAAAGGAATAAATGATATTAATCAGAAAACACCCTGTTTACTGGGAATAAACGTAGTTTGAAAAAATTTTGTTGTGTTATGAAAAAAACGTGATGTAATCCAAATGGGTAAATAAACATGAACAATTGAGTATTTTAAATTCTATTAAAACTTTGTGGCAAGAAGAAAACTACTTAATACATGTTGATGGTTTCAAAGTGTTAAACAATAAGGCTTGTGAGAAATTGTGACATTTTGAACAATTGCAAATCTCTATTATTTATTTTCTGACATCAAATTAATTCAAATAACACCTCACCCCATCTATTTTAAAAGAGTTAAGATATTCTAAATCTAGGAAACCTAATTTCCTGTTTACCTGGAGTCTGATCCACTACTAGAAGAATTCTTCCTCTTCCTCTCTCTGCCTCGTTCTGAACCACTCTTCTTCCTTTCCCTACTTTTGCTTTGGCTCCGAACCCTAAAAATAATTAACACTATAGGGAAAGAAGTAATTTTTTTTCATATTGTTGCCAATATTTCAGATTGATTTGTATTTCCTATCTGATTCTCCACCATGTAATACAATTGATAAGTAGGTTTTAAATATTTATAAGTCCAAAAATAAACACATACAGTTTAGAACAACTGAATATACAAAATATTTCTTATTGCTACAAAGTGTAAAGGACACACTGCCAAAACATATGAAACACAAACATGACAAATTCAGTATTGTACGACACACTTCAGGACTTTTACAACTTTAATACTGATTGTGACTGCTTTGAAAGGGACAATAGAGAAAGAGACTCATTTTAAAAAGTTTATTATAATTTATTTTCAGAAATTGGATTTCAATGTTGAAAATTATCACTGTAGCAGCTAGAGACTGAGATCAAAAGAGTATCTCAGTAAGGAATTTCCGAAATATGGTAAATAAGACCTGTTCCCTTTTTAAACATAATGCTACAATAATAAAATAGAGACTTCAATAGAGGTGAGAATGAAGATATTCCTTAATAAATATGTGCATACTGAGAAATGCAGTTTAGTACCGAGATGTTTGTTTACATTTTACAGAGCAGAGGAAATTCAAATCGTAAACAAACTTTATAAATATTACCACGTCTAATTAATTTTCATAGAAAATAAATGCATAAATCATTTGTGAAATAACTGAATGTAGTTATAGATTATGCAATATAATATTTAGAATGGAGATGCTTGTGATATTTGTGGATTTACTTACATTTTAATGTAAAAGTAAAATAGACGCCGATTAACCCTTCCCCAATATGTAACACACTATCTGATTGGGTAAAATCTATTCTTAAGGCCAGTTGACCAATCAAGTGAAAGAATACAATAATTAGATGATAAAAATGGCGACTTCCATGAACAAACTGACTGACAAAAACAATGAAGAGATTTTGCACCACATTGCGACACAGTTCTTTCAAATGGTTCCAATCAGACGAATTCAGTGGACAGTACGTACACCATGAATAAAAAAGTTTTTGAAGGCTATGAATATATTCTTGCAAATATGCTTGAAAATTTGACAAATCTTTAATCAGTTCATTTGGCTACAGTAATGTATAAATACTGTGACTGTTTCGATGTTTGAAAGGATTTGTCATATATATAATCATTGTTGATCATGGAAGTCATGAGACTATCTTGGTGGTCTAGCTCTAGCTCTTCTGTACCAACAATTGCAATTTACCCTGATTGCAATTGCATTGTAAAGTGAATTAAAATTTTTATTTTTTTCAGGGAAAATCTCTTTGCCCAGTAAATATTGGAGTTGAGGAGCAACAAGCAGTGCTTGAGGCTACAGTTACCAGTCCTTTGTGTTATAAATACCCAACCTCTCTAAGCTATCGCCGGGCATTTGTCAAGCATCTGATTCAGAAGGCAAGATAGTCTGCATGTCATCTCAGTCTATGTGAAAGTTTATTTTTAGGTCATATGTACAGAACATTCAGTCCAGTGTACTCCAGCACACAGAATAAAATCAAACTTGGTCAGACAAAAAACCACCTATGTAAAAAATTGAAATGCGAACATTTAGAAAAAAAGGAAATCTCACAACCCATTTAATCACACTCATTTATGTTTCTGAATTTGTGTGCATGATTTTTTTCCCTTCAAGAATGCACGTTTTTATGACTCTGAGTCAAAATAATTAAACTTAAAACTGGACTTTGTTGATTGGATACTTCCATTTGTACCAGAGGCCCTGTACATTGGTAAGGTCTGGTTGTCCTTTGTCCAGTCATAATGACTATAATAAATTGCAGTTTGCAAAGAAAATTGAATTAAATATTTCAGTATATATTTATATCATATATTTTACTTCATATCATATTGTTAATGTAAAATTTCAAATATTTTTAGCTTGAAGACAGTGATGTGGAATTATGTGATGAGATTTATGAGGTTTACACAGATCTGCTTCAGGAAATAGACGTAGAGGATGATACACTGTGTTACAAGTCTTATTTTCTGGTGAGAGGAAATTTTTTTCTTTGTATATGAAAATGCTTTGCATCGGTACTTTACTTAGCAAATGCTTTTTTTTCTTTACATCTGTGAACTTCAGATCTACAGCTTTCCTTCTGCAGCAATTAAGATTTGGAATCTAGAAATCTGTAGAACGAAGCAATTTCATTTAATCAATGCTTTATCAATGCATGGTACTTATATGCCTGCTAAAAAGATTTAAAAAAATTTAAGGAATTTTCATGCTAAGAGAAATAATTTAATCTATTTTATTTTAAGAAAAAAATCTAGTTGTGTTAGTTTGTCATCAAAACTATTGAATAATAAACTGCTCCACTGTATTTTATTCTAAGAAAAAATGTGTTGTGTGCTCTATTAAATAATAAACTACAAGTCTAAGAATGTTCTGTGACAACATTACTATTTGAAATTGCCATTTGACAAGGTATTTTGCAAAGTATGTCTGTGTTCTTAATAAAGAGTGTTCTGTATGTATATATTTATAGCCCAATAAAGAAGTGGTGAATCTACAGGAGTCGGTACACATCATCTCACAGGGCACCACAGGACTCAGTACATGGCAGGTATGACTCAAGACTATGGTCAATCAAACTACAGGTGAAATCAAATATTAGGTCAACCAAACTACAATAACAGCTTGAATTTTATATTATGAACCTAATATCATGGATATGTCAAAGTGAAATGAAAGCCCCAATCACATGATATTATTATATTTTACCCTTGCTATCTTGAATATCTGGATATCTAGACATTTTCTTAGTCCCATTGAGTTCAAATAATGATGTTTAACTGTAGCTCTCTCATTAAAATTTATTTGTTCCACCTTGTTTCATTTCATTCCAAGTAAAAAAAAAATAACAAAGGATTCTTCTTTTTTAAAAGAAATAGAAGTTGATTAGATTTGAAGATTGAGATTGAATATTTAAACCTATGTACTGTTGTTACTTCTGTTTTATATATTTTGCAGGCTGCTCTTCATTTGGCAGAATGGTCTTTTGAACATGAATCTCTTTTTAAAAATAAGTAAGTTTTTGAGCTTTAATTATATTGTTTAATCTTTTGAGCTATTTTCAATTTTGAATACAAGAATTTTCTCCAGCATGAATGCCATAGTGTAAGATATATGACACATCCTACTAGCTTGGGTTAGTGGGTTAACTGTGGAACTGGCAAAAGTCTTTGTAATTTACAATAACATGATAGAAATTTAGGTCAGTAGGGTGATAACATGCTAATGTAATGACAATAAAGCAATGGTGCAATTTATTTTTTTAATTTAAATAGTGAAAAAAATGTGTATAGTTTTTTTCCTCTCCAGAAATGTGCTTGAACTTGGCAGTGGACTTGGATTCCTAGGAATAGCCTTGTGTAAACAGTGTAAAATGAAATCCTTTACATTCAGTGACTTCCATCCACAAGTTCTGTTCCTCCTCATGAAAAACATTGAAATCAACTTCCTCAATGAGCAATATTCCTTGGAATGCTCACCACAACTCTTAGAAAATTGTGAGTCAAAAGACAGAAAAATGTTGAAAAAGATCAAAAAACAGATAAGTGTAACCAAAGAACCAGCTGCAATAGAAGATAGCTGTGAAATCATGCAGATCAGTTACAATTCCATGGTGTCCTCGGTAGAAACGGTTGAAACCGATGAACAGGAAGTTGGTTCAGAACAGGAAGAGGAAGTGAGTAACAGTAATGAGCAGATTCTCTCCTCGAATTCTCATTGGATGCCACTGAATGATTCCAATGTGTATGTTTTGAAGCACTGTGAGACAGTGAGACTGATGAAGTTTAATTGGGAGTTCTGCAACGAGAAAGATTTGTCTGTGGTTCAACCTGATGTTTTAGTTGCAGCAGGTAGGAAAGACAACTCTTGGCTTCTTTATCAGATTTTTACCATCGCAAGATTTTGCTTGTAAAGAAACTGAAAAATGATTTTACCGCAGTAGTAACTTTTTTTCAAAATAGTATGTCTTGAAAAGTTCATGGAAGAGTATATGCCTTGGGATAGCATTTGGTATTTAAGATAAAAGATGATTTCTTAATATTTCAGTGACTTTTAATATTATGTTAATTCAAATGGAATTTGTTTTTTTTAAAATGATTTGACTATATTTCAGATGTGGTTTATGATAAATCAATCATTCCATTCCTGGTGCATGTGTTGTACCAATTCTTGTCTGGTGCTTTTGGGTCCTGGCCTGTGGCATATATTGCATCCACAGTTAGGAATGAAGACACGAGGGATCATTTTCTTGTGGCTCTTGGTAAGGATTAAATTAATATGTTTAGTGGTATGTGCCAGTGACATAAAGATTTTACTTTTAATTAGACAATAAGTTTGGGGAGATGTTATTCAAAGGGATAAAAAGACAAATTTCTGTTTCTTTTTTATATTTTTTGAGAAAACATATTACCACACAAAATTATTAATAGTATAATTTGAGTATGCCTCTATTGCCAATCTAAATGTGCATCTAGTACACGTGTGTGATTGCCAAATGTGGCAAACTTAATTATATCTAGAGAGGGAAAAACTGCCTATATTTCAGAGTTTTGCAGTATAAACTTGTTTTATTTATTTTAAATAGGTGGTAAAGGACTTCGGTATGAAATTATGGATCCACCAACAGAAAAAATATTCCTTTATGATGACATCATTCCAATTGAGATTTTGCGAGTATGGCACCCCAGTAACAAGTCTTTAAAAAGTTAAATTTTTTAATGATTCACAAAATTTCTTGTGCTTTTGTATTTATATTTGTAAGTTGTGCTTATAATGTTATAATATATAAAGTTTGCAAAACTTCATATCAAACACAAGAAAAGCAAATGCTTTGTAATTTATATTACTTTGTGAAGTAAATGATATATGAATTATATGTTGGTAAAAATGAAATATCGGGTAGCTAGTGGCATTAAAAGCCAATAAAAAGGCTTGTAGTTCAATATAAAATATCATTTTATTTGTGCCAAAATAAGTTAAAACCAACTGGTAATTGTTTTTTTTTTCTTTCAAATATCTAGTCAGTAGTCATATCATTTTCAAATGTTGCACTGAATTGATAGATTTATACTTAAAGTACAATATTTTGTTTGTACAAATATATAGTTATTTTTTAAAAACAAAATTATTGACTTTTTTCATGAAACAAATTTTTGTTTTTACAGCCATACATTTATTTTTGTGACAACTGTACAATTTTGTCTTGGATTTGTATTGCAAATCGAGCATTTTTGGAAAATAAATCTGTTATTAAATTTGTTTTGTTCATTTATTGATCAAGAACAGATCTTCTGTGCCATATGAAAATGTGCACATTTTCATGAGTTCTTACATGAAAGTAAATGTATATTATTAAATGAAAATTTATATTATTTTATAATGTTTTATACAATTTATTAATTTTGTGGGTCTTGTAAAAGAATATTCATGTACCAGGCCTAAAGTTTCTTAAATTTGGTGAAAATAGCAGGAAATAGGAGAAATGTTTAATAAAAATGCCTACAATTTTTGTATGATTCATTCCTAAAAATTTTTGCTCAATATTTCCATTGGTTGGAAAAAAACAAGTGTTTCTGTTGCTAATCAATGATATGGGTTTGATAAATTCTATATTTACATTTTTTATTTATTTTAATATACATATTTTCTGTGTTCATAAATTGGTCAACATTATCTATTATCGGTATTTTTTATTTTTCATGTTAACTTATGTTTGTTGATGATAAATTGTATATGAAAAAATGTAAACATTTTTATCATTGTTAATCTAATTAAGCATTAAGCCCCCGGTTTTTTTTCCATTATTGACTTATATATGAATGCCTACTCTGACACCTTAGTCCTATGTTAAATTTTGCAGATTTAATGATGGTCAGTAAAAGTATATCAAGAAAGTGTTCAGCTTATCTCTCTTTGTTTTATTTTTCTTGCCAATAATTTGTAATATGTTTTACGGTGTGACCGTTGGAATAAAAAAAGTTGTACCATAAAAAAACACTCTAAAAAATTGATCAGCCACTTCAAACATCAAGCCGCACGAGACATCTGGACTACCTGTGACGTCACACGACGTCACGGAGTTCGTCGGAGCTTACGGAGACAGCCGAGCGTCTGTTTGAAACTATAGACCTAGTGCAATTTGGGTCGAAAAAAATTGCAGAGTTATTTTTTGTTTCTTTGAAAGATTTCTACAAACTAAAAGCTTTTTATGCTTTACGTTATTGTTTATTTATTTATCTATTTCACGGAAGCAACCGACATGACTTAATTAGCATATCGTCAAAATTCGTAAGTTTCCGGTGACGTCATTTGTATCATTTCCGAAGGGCAAGGTGAAGGCCAGTGTTGTTGCATGGGGGTATTTTTTTGAATAAGGTAAGGCAGAATCATTTCGTTAAGATTTCGGTAAGAAACAATGTTCCTTTTTTTTTTTTTTACTATTTTTGATTTATTCGCGCAAAGGACATTGGGTAGTGCAGGAATTCTGGGAATGTTGCACAGAGAAATTTGGCTGACGTATGTACAGATTTCAATCCGAATTTCCTCTGTTCTCTCTCTTAGTCTCTCTCTCTCTCGCGATCTCTCTCGCTCGCTATTAATACATCAATATATTAAAAAAAATGAAAGAACAAAAAAAATATGATTGAAAAAATTATTTTTATTTACCATTTCATAATATGTCGGGTTCGGTATTCCTAATAATTTTCAAAAAAATATATGTTTGTAAATTTCGTGCAGCATCATGCATCATTAGCTTTTGAAGATATCTACATTTCCTCAAAAGCAGCGCTCATCTAATATAGCTTATAGGGAATCATTTTGTTTGAAAGGTATACAAAATATAGTTCAGTGCATTGTGTTTCGATTGATTAATAGGCTAATGAAAAACGATAGGTTTGACTTTTGGCACGTGCGCTCTACTTGGAATGGGTGTGAGCAAAATCTGTAATGTTTTGTTTATGCAGTTATTTGAAGTTTCATGGTCACAATATGTGTAATTTCAACTTGATAGCGTTACCGATTTTTTCCTTAAACGATTGTACTTTTGATGGAACCTGCACATATAAATAACTTTCACATTTGCGAAAGTTATTTCCCTTTGCGGGGAGTCCATGCATGCAAGGCAATTGTTTGCCACCTATGATGATTTTACCACTTTTTTAGACATTGTCTTACATGTGATCTGATTACAGATTGTACATTATTTAATTTATATTGCCCCAAATTGCAACCAGTGTGACACAGTATGCATGTTACGTGGTTAGACCAATTACTCTAGAGTCACAGAGTAAGGAGAAATCCCTACATCATGTTTCAAATCCCACTGCGAACCAGTCTTACAGATAAACCAATTAAGGTTCTGTGTCACAGTAGCTTCTGGTAATGAAAATGTTTTCTCACTGCTCAAAAGGCATAAGTGCTGAGTATATAGGTCTTAATTCTGCAGCCCTCAAATGACAACTGGTGGCATCTCGATATGAAAGAAGAAAAAATTTCAGAGGGAACGTGAAACAACCCCCCCCCCCCCCCAAACGTGTTGGAAAGCACTGGAAGATTTTAAATGTACAAAGTTGAATAGAAGAAAATAACCTTTATGCTGAAAAATGAAGGTAAATCTTTACAATATAAAATTCATTTGGAAAGAACTCTAGTTCATTTTCATCAGCAGATAAGCACACAATATAACAGCATAGGACTGTCACAGTTCCAGATTTTTAAAGTCTGGTTTGTCCAGGAATTTCAATTTGGTTTTGGTGTTTGGTTGTGATATATTTATTTTAAAATTCAAGAATGAAACTTGAAAATAAAGCTGTTTGTTACCTGTACTGAATTCACTTTTTAAAATGAACATATTCTTGACATTGGTGATAAGATCTATTGAGTCTTCTTTTCATGCTTAAAGAAACGAAATAGCCACAGGCACTTTCAGTCTCTCACTCATTTCAACAATTTTCTAGTTTTGTCTAATTCATGCATTATATAGTATGTATGAACTGATGAACCTATAGCTGTTGTCACTATGTTTCAAAGCAAAATCAATGAAAGGTAATTAATTGTAAAAATAGAAATGGGGAGATTGTATAGAATAGTAATAATGCACAGGAAATTAAACATTAATGTTATAAGTTTGTTTGAATCAGGGCCTAAGTGTAAGTCTGCAGTGGTTTTTATTCAGTATTCGGAGATACGACACAAAAGCGTTAATGAACTTGAGCTATTTTTGGTAATGGAGAAATGGACCAGAGATAAAGTACACAGTACAATATCATATGAGAAGATAATTATTATGAAAGTAATATCTCATCAAGGCTTTTCTAATGTGGATAAATTACATTTATTGCTACGGTTGTTCAAATGTTATGGAATAGGGTCTTTAAATATTGATAATTTTGAGTAAATTTCTATCACAAATACGTATTATTTATAGCGCACAGGCATGCACATTCCACTTTGGCATATACATTAATTAAATTTGCAAGACAAGTTGTATGCACTCAAACGTAAATAAAGAAATTTTGAAAGTTGAAAATACCATTATGAGACAATTGTTTTAAAATCCCATTCTAGTTATCAGAATTAGATGTCTCTACAAATATATTTTCCTCGTTATTTTCTTACTTGATCTACAGTATTTTTTTCCAGGTTTTATTATGATTTTTTCAGGTAGTTGATGTGCTGTTTTTCTTTCCCAGGAATTTTGCTGTTGATGAATAAGGTGTCCCAATACAATCAACATCGATGTTTGTTGGTAAAGAGAGATGAAATTGATTAGTAAGGGGTAAAAATAAAATAGTAAATGTGTTGCATGAATTCAATGTCCCCTTAATTGTTTACTTTCTAAAGTTATCTGAGATGAACTCCTTCAGAATTGATTAAATTGATTTTTAACTTGAAGTCAAGATGAAACTTGAAGGTGCTCTGATTACTAGATATATAGGGAGTAGCTAAGTAGTGTAATTGAAAATGATATTTCTGTTTAAATTTTTGGTAAATATTTGATTTAAACTTTCAGCATAGATCTTGGAAGTTTGAATACACCTGGAAAACATGGGGATTCTATGGGTAGATGTGATAATCTTACAGTTTTGAATTTTTGGTAAGTTTTGTTCCATTTGAGAAATATGAAATGAAGTAGTATAATTTTACCTCAAGTAATGTGTTATATTAATGTATAGGTATGGTTTGAATGATGTATTTGTTTTAGAAATTCTCTTGTTTGGTATCGCTAGAGTGAAGTATTTGCACTATTCATCACAATGTACTCTGTGCTTCCAGTATCGATAAGGAAGAGAAGTGCTTGTTGAGAATTTGTAAGTCAGACGTGTATTTGCAAAGTACTTGTTATTTTTACATATCTTGGTAAAAGAAAAGAGCCCTTACATTTGTCACTTCTTATCTTTAAGTAATTGAAGCCTAAAGAATTCCAGAAGATTTTTTTTCTCTTTTAGTCTTTTTATGACCTTGAGGTTTTCATGGTCATTCCAGTCCAGAGTAGAGCTAGATACATGTAGTCGTTTAAACAGACACAAGGTAAGGGAATAGAATGGTTTTCTTGTAATTTTGGCTAGTTTGACATAAGCCTCATTATGTAATAAGTTCTTTTTAAAGAGTTGGGAACAGTATATAGCTTTCTTTTAATCTAGATCCATTCAATAAATCTAAAGATTTATAAAGTGCAATTGCACTTGCTTTATATTTGCTCAAGTTCAACTGAACTTCAATAGTGAGTTTTATGTTAATACAGACAGGTTAAGAATATGTTGGGAATTGTTGGCCAAAAACACAGTTTTAATGGGCATAATCGTTCATTTTCTTTCTTTTTACAGTATAGATATAAAGACATCAGAAATAGAGGTTTTGATTAATATTTAAAAAAAAAATTTTGATTAATTCCCATAAAAGATAGAGAGACAGAGAGAAAATAAAAAATATTTGAAATTAATATTTCATATGCGAGGCCAGTATAGTTTCTATTATGTAATAGCCAAATTGAGAGCTGATTTTAATGATTTCTTTCTAGATGGATCAATATGAAATCTGCAGAAATGGCCAGATATTTGATACATTATGGTTGTCTGGTATATAGTGAATACTATGAATCATAGTTTTCTGATCAAGATTCAAAGGCAAAAAGTTCATGATCTATAGTTGACATACATAATGGGTAAACTAGTAATTTAGCGGGTATGTATTGGTGTTATTTAGCATAGCCATCCTTTGGCAACACTAGTCTTAATTAAGGTACTTGGACATCTATTATCTTGTCCCAGTTTGCCGTTGCAGTCTTGCATCATGAAATATTCATGTGAGATTTAATTAACAACAGGTATTACTGTATCATGTCAATTACCAATACCTTGTAGCAGATTCAGGTACAAAGGGTTGGAATACTGTCTCTCTCATTTCTCTCTTAATGTGGGTGACAGTGTTTATATATTCTAACACCTGCTAGTCTGTACCTGAGATTTTTTCTTCCAATACTAGAAGCTGGAGATTGACTGTAATTGACTAAATTGAGACTTCAATTGCTCCGGCTGTTGCATTTAATGGAGTTGAGGTGTCGGAGAATGGCTTGGATTAAGGTGGTAGATCAACATTAGTGACTGAGAGATGGCCATGTAATGTGTGGAGCCAAGACTTGAATTGTGTATTCTCTGTCAGGGAACAAAGTGAAGTGTGTCTCTGAGTGAATTATAGCAGAGTATTGGGGAAAATCGTAAATTTACATGGAAAGGATTTTTATTCAGGCACTTCCTTTGAATTTTAAAATGTTTTAACATTTTTCTTCACTTTTGTAAAAATAGTTCTAATGTGTAAGTTACAAAGAAATTGAGTTGGGTATTAATAGGAATATATGTATGGGATCCTTGAAAAAATGTACTTTGGGTGAGGTGGAATGTCCAGATACTAAATCTATCTCGTCAATGATTTTTCAACTAAGTTTTCTTTTAGCAAAACAAACTTTTCCAGTCATTTCTTACATTGTGATGTTTGATTTTCATATGATTATTAGACTCCTTGAGAGGTCAAGTGTGGGCAGTACATGGGATTCATATCTGGTCCGTAGTTCACAAGGAAGGGACATATTGATTTGAAAACTTGTCAGTAGGTCACAGAGAGGGGGCAATTATTAACAATATCATGTCAGTATAGGCAGCATGACGCACCTTTGTACAGTATTCTTCTTAACCCATACAATTTCAAGATTTTTATTACAGGCACAGTGAATTATAATACATGTATAACAATTATATCTTTTCTGAATATTTGCTCGAGGAATTGTATGAAAAATATATTTTACATGTTTTAAAGGATGAAATATTTCTGGATGAACATTAGACCTGAGAGCAATATATGTCTTTGTAGTTGATGAACACTTAACATTAGCAAGAAAGATAATGTATGTTTTAGACTGCTAACTGCTCTCTAACATGCAATGCACTTTTTCTGGAGAATAAAACGTATTTCAAGAGACATTGCAAGCAAAGTATCCAGTTCAGTAACATGCTCTTTATGGGATTTGTAGCCCCCAGGTTTACTATTGACAAAGCAGTAGATGGCTGCAACATATGATATATTCCACAAGCACAGCTCTGCGGTGGTTGCTATAGTGAAGACTTTCAAGCTCTTTTTTCTGTTTCTTCATTTGTCCAGTGTTTGTTGCTGTTGATTTTGTCAGTGTTGTATTAAACTCTTCAAATTTCTATCTTCTTCTTCAGAATCCTTGGGCCAATTTCATCTAAACTTGGAAAAGAGTATCCTTGGGTGAAAGGAATTAAGGTTTATTCAAAGAAAGGGTTTCACTCTCTTCCAAGGGAAGATAATCAAGAAATAGTGAAAATACAGCTGATGTCATTTTAAAGTCTTTTTCTGAAGAACTACTGGGCCAGAAAAGATGAAACTTATTTGAAAGCTTCTTGACATACTGTACATTAATTTTGATCAAATCACAATCCCCAAGGGAGGGGGGGGGGGGTATTGGACATTCAAAGTTATACATGTATATCCTAAACTTTACAGTGTTCATTGAAATCGAACTATATAGTGAATATTCTGTTGAATTATTAAGGAGGCATTCGATTCTTTTAGATATTCACTTCATTGCATGGCATCTTTTCTAATAATTCAGTCTCCCACCTATATTGATTTTAGATGGCTTTGATATTACAAGCCATTTGTTTTAAAACTATTCACAATGGTTCATGTCTGCTAGAATGTCTGTTAAACTGTATTGTTTTTTTTTTTTTAATATTACGGTGTCCAGGTAAAAGATGTATTGTGAATCTGACACTTGGGGTTTATTTCTGGAAAAAGATAGAAGATTAAATTGATTGAATTTTCTATTCCTGGATGGGATTATGATAGCTCTTGACATTTTGTTATCTGTCTAGAAGTACATTAATAAACTGCATTTGTTTGTTTCCAGTTTTGCTTACGGACAGATCAAGCAGTTTTATCATTTACATTGAGTCACACTTTGGTAGCCAAATGTGGTTAAACATTTTATTTTGAATGGCAATTTATGTTTTCTTTTAATATTGTTACTTAGTTTATTATGACTTGAGGGTGTTTTGTTATAGAGGATAGTGGGTGATCTGAAATTGGAAGGTTTTGAAGTGCATATAACTATATATTTAGATTGGTTGGTTGTAAAAAAATAAGAAATCTGGAATCCGTCTGAGGAAAAAAAATAGTGTTTGGGTTTAAGTAAATTTGTAACCAAAAGAAATTGAATAAGTTATTAATAAAGTAATTTTGGTATGATTTTAATATTATGATTAACTTTTTTTTGAAGATTTTTAAGTAAAAGTGTTAGACAGCATATATCTGTAAGCTTTTGAATTTAGAAGGAAATGGTAATGTTAAAGGTCTGTAAACTTGTACAAATGTTTATACACCTATGAAACAGTTTTGGGAGATACAGGATTTTTGTCGAACCTGGACTTAATTTCACAAAAGCCCTCAAATTTATGACGAAGGAAAAGATTTAGTATCGACAAGATAAAATCAGTTTAGCTGCATCTTGCATATCTCGGGCCTTAATCATTGCAGTATTATTCAAAGTCTCAGGTGTAGAAACTTAAACTTTCACATTAGTGTTATCAATGTTCAAAAAAAAGGTAGGAAGAAACTTTACTCTATATGACTGTTTCTACTAAATATTCCCAGTGCATTTAAAGCAAGGGGTTGAAATTTTGTGCAAAATTATGACATTTATATAGGCCTAATATTATTTTAAGTTCTATAAGACATAGATTTTCCATTTATTCATGATTAAGTATGCAGGGATATCGCATTCATCACATTTCGGGTCTATTTGCTCAGCATTAAGATGTGAGTTAAAAAGCAAGAAAAAGTCGAGTCTTCAATTTTGTAGTATTTTCCTTGGAATTTCAGATGTGAGTTTACAAAGCTAGGAAAAATCTTGAGTCTTTAGTTTTGTTGTATTTTCAATTTTATTTACCATATAAATAAATTATTTCTTCTAGTGCATGATTTATACCATGTTTGGGTCATATATTGTAGCTGTTCCTCTGTTCGGCTACAACCAGCAATTCTATGTCATAACTGAAGTGTAGTGTTCACAAGAAATGTAAGAACTGAGAGGTCTTATACTTACTTTGTGTTGTAAAAGGAGAGAATTTGTTAGATAATGGTGTATATTTACCTAGCATTATAAATTTTATACTTCAAGCTTTCTTGTTCTGTGCCATATGACAGCTAGTGCGCATTATACCTTGTTTACAGTGGATGGTGGAAGTTTCAATGTTACCTTAAGTTATGCCATACTTTTCCAAGGAGTTAGAATGTAGAATGAATGGAAAAAGTTCATTTTCTTTAAAGAAGTATCTGTTTAGGACATAGTCAAAAAATGTCTTTTTAAGTCAAGTTAAAAAAAAGCACCCCCCCATCCATGGGAGAAAGAAAATATTTAAAAAAAAAAAAACATAGGATTTGCCATTTTGTCTTGAAAATTGTGGTAAACAGGAAGGAAAGTGGATCAGATTTTATTGATCTTGTTGATGTATTGCTAATTTTGTTTTAATAATTATTTTTATATGATAGCATGAAAGGAAATCATCCTTCAGTTCACCAGTGTCATTGTTTTCTTCCCCTGAATATATGCATGGTAATTGTCTTTCTAATGTCTGTGGCTAACCAGTTATTGAAAAGCAAACCTGTGGGTTTTATTAATAAAACAACAAAGATGAAACAGCTGTTTGTCACCTTGTCTTCTCAGTCTGATGTGATGGAAAAATAATTGCTTTTGGTTTTTTTCATTATCACATGGTCCATTTCTCTTTATCAATAGAAATAGTAGATGGTATTGTATTGGACGTGATGTCTTTGAAGAATCAAAATCCCTTATCAGGACATTAAATGGTTTTACAGTCATTTAAAATTGAATAGGAAACTTTGAAATTGTTCTGCGAGAAGGATTATTGACATATTCGAAGTCCCCTGATTTTATGTGGTATTTTCAATTTTATATTGATCAAGCTCTATAAAGCTGATCTCTTTATGAAATG